TCCAGTTTGGCATTTATCTCAAAGTAACAGGTTGTTTATACTTGAATTAAAACGTTTATTTAGAGTATAATGCCACTGCGCCAAATATAGCTCAAGTAGCTTTGAAGCTCACATTAGGCACTTTCACTCAAGCTCTGTAGAACAGCATTTCATTAAATACATGATACTCTTCAGATTCAAACAAATCACAAGGGTGTCATACTGGTGTGGCGGGGGGAGGGGGATTTTGCAGCCATGTAATAACCCCTGTGGCAATTTTGTATTTTGATCAGCAGCTTTAAATGCATTTCAATGTTCACAGATGTCCAGACAGACTGCACTGCATTTGCTATTTAGTCTCACATTAAGTCATACAATATGTTGCACAGGGAGAAGACACTATGTTAATACTTGCAGTTAGTTCAAAGACATTTTGAACTAACTACTAGTATTTTAGACTAGAGAGTTGTATTGTGAAACAGCAGAGCAGAGCTCACGCAGGGAAGTGACAAAGTCTGTTCTCGAGAACCAAAACACAAGAAGTGGTGGGAAGTGACCCAAGTGCAACACGAGATACATGACTGCCACAAATAAAGCCCAGGCTTCGAAATGCACCACTCGAGTGGTTAAAAATGAGAGAGCAAAACTACATTGTTCTGTTCCAGAATCAGACCCCCCAAATCTCTCGCACTTCTTCAAAAAACATGAGGCTGTTTGAGCCCCTCATGTGTAAATTATAACGAGTAGTTTCATCAGCACAGTATCTAATGAGGACACATTGCAGACACAGTGGTTACAGAGACATGCTTACACAACGATAAAACAAACAGTACACCATGACACTTGGTGGTGAGTCATCCTGAAGCTGAAGTAATTTAAAAATGATAACAACTCATCACACCACGTCTAGATTTTAAAAACACAGAGCACAAAACAATAGGACTGTTCCATTTTCTTTCACAAAAGTCCGATTAAATAATAGCAAAAGGAATATTTGGGTTTACTTTGGGCTATCCTAAAGTTCTGTGGACCAAACCAATAATCGATTAATTCAATCAATAACTGTCAGATTCATCCATTATAGAATTAAGCTACAGCCCTTATATGAACATGACAACATGTTCTTGTATGTGTTTGGAAAACAGTATGAGGGAAGTTTTAATTAGAAGACTGTAATTTCTTCTGCGAGACAAAAGAAAGTATTTTCCGACAGGCATATGACATTTCCTAATCCCTAATCTAAATCTAGAGTTAAGTAAAGAGAGTGGATTACAGAGTGAGTCATGGGTTGATATTTTCCACACGGAGCTCAAATGTGAACACTCTACTCTTTGATGTTTTCACTACAGGATCTTTAAGCCTGTTAATAAGACCAAAAGGAGCTGACTGTAGTGAGCATGTTTAGAAGCAAAACAAATCCTATTATTTCAGATTAAATAAGGGAAATGAACCATTAAAATAAACCTAGAAATATAGAGATTGTTAGACAGTGATGTCATTAGTATTAAAGTCTTACAATTATTTTTGTTCTAATAAATCTCCCCTCTGGCAGTGAAACAGCCTAATATGAATCGTTCAGAATAAGAGATGGACGTTAGAGGACGTTGCTGCCCTCTGCTGGAATTAAGAATACACAATAAAATGCCAAAAAAGAAGAAGAAGCAAATAAGACTTATAAGGAAATATTCTTATGGCTTTCTAGAGGATTTCCACATTAAATCTTTCTCAGAAGAAAAGGGAACATGTTTTCTTTTTCAAAATCCATCTTTAACAGAAAAACCATGATATCAGAAAAGAAGATTTCCCTTCCCACACTGCCTTTCTATGTAAATGAAGCCATGATGCCATGGACTTCCTGTTCTCCAGCAGCAGTTTATATCCATAGTAATGCAGGTGCAAATGCATCGATCATCCGGATTTATGCAAACGCTAGCAATTTCCCCAGAGTCACGCACAGACCCCGTGCTCACCCTTGCTGGCTTCATACTAGGTCTGAATATCAAACACTACTGTAGTGCTACATAATTCAAATAGCCAACCTTTATTATTCTGGGGTAATGTAGTTTCTGCCTTGCACCCGAGACTACTCATTAGATTACAGGGAGAATGGAAACTGGAAAACTACCAAGATTAGAAATTGAAGATTAGATCAGGAACATTGGAAAAGGAAATTATTTTGTTCATGACTTAGGGTGGGGTGACATCTGACCAAGAAATACTGAAATCAGAGATAAATAAGACCATTAAACCAATTTGTTGTTGCATACTAAAAACATCAAGTATCAGTTTTAAAAACGTCTTGATCAGAAACCCCCTGTGCACTTGTACCCTTCCACAAGATGGCAATAGAAATCTCACCAGATCTAACTTTTCCCTGCCGAACAATGCACATGCTTAAATGTCATCCAAAGAACACGCCCTATTTCTGTCCTTCAAAATCGAAATGCAACCTTTAGTATGTGGAAAAATCCCACGTCACTCTGACTGGACATGCAGTGACGAAGCTGAATCTCATTAAAAGATGAATAGACGGGTCAAGCTGGACTAAGGCGCCTTAGAAATCTGCACCGCACCTCTTCCGTCTCTCTGCCCTTCTGCTTCAAAAGCCAGCCAGAACATCTTTGAAGGCTCAAATTAAATCTGGTTTGAGCTGCAGGCGGGAGGAAAGTGCAAAATACTACAGAGCAGAGACGGGCTGGAGTAAAATCTGAGAGTGAATCAAAGCCATAAAGTTGTGCTATAAAAAAATAACAAAAAGAGCCGGAAGACCAAAACACCAAACTGAAGGAGTCAGGTCTTTCCGGGAGCTTACATTACAATGTTTTTTCACCGTTAACACAAACAGTGCAACTTAAATGTTATTTGGTGACATTTGTGGGTATAACAGCGTCATTCTTACCTCTTATTGTTGTAGCTACTGGTGTGGCACAAGTCTAATATTTCTTGAGGTAAATGTTTTCCTCCTAATTTTCCTGCCGGTCCTTTATGGGTCTCCATAGTATGATACAATTATGTAAGTCCACTCCCAGATGATCATTTTTATAGTTTGCTCAATGCCTTTATCGTAATTTATGACAGACATTACTCATTACTGGATCACAGCATCCTAATGGCACACTTAGATGGGCAGGAATGTACTGACAGTGGCAGGTCATTGCAGACGGTTGGCTCAGGCCCTCTGGATCATAACTGCCATCCCACTGATGGTCTGAAATGTCTCTAAAACATTATGAGCTGCCCTCCCTCTCTGCTCTTAATTGTGCTCCATGAAGTATGTTGAACAGCTCGGCAATTAGCTGGAAATGGGTTGACACTGCAACGCTGTAATGCTCATTTTACACTCAAATGTCAATAGAAAATGATCATTAACATGACAAATGACAACTCTACGCCTCTTGATTAGACTGCTGCCAGCACAGTGGAGTCCCTCGTGGCGGTGAGTCAGGGCGCTGCTTCACTGCTCACATGAGGGGTGAAATGCACCCCCCCGCACCTTGTTTTGAGGTTAGATTTAAATGTGTGTTAGCCCTTTATAAGATGTGTTAACCTATGTCAGGTGATCCATTATATGTCAAACGTTTGAAACAATAGCTTTTATGATGGTATTATATTTGAGTGAATATCACTTGCTACTTTTACCATAGCTATGGTCTAACCATTTGTTATGGTATTACCAGCTTTCAATTTATGGTTTTTTAATCTCCTTTTAAGTCTGTATTAATGTTCAATTTTTATGCTGGTTGCCCTTATTACTGTTTGAAGCCCTTTGTGACGTTCTGCTCTTTAAAAAGGTGCTGTTGTACATATACAGTTACTTACTTAATGAGGAAATCCATAAGGGCAAAATAGTAAGTCATAGATAATGGTGCATACTGTCCTTTGATGTTAACAATTAGCATTTTCACAAAATGATTAAGAAGTCTGCCTTCCAATAAGAGAGCAACGCCCTCTAAGCCTCACACTTTACCCAACTGGCACACATTTACTTCAGTGTCACTGATACAGCGGGTCCGGACAGTCAGACCTCCCCTCGCTGCACCAGGCAGGCCAAAACATGAAGCCCCCCCCGGGATCGGCTCAGTTCCAGTTCTTTACTTTCTGACCCACTTTTTTGACAGCAGCTCTGTTCAAACTCTCAGAAGCAATGAGTGCTTCCCTTGCTGGGCAACAAGGTCGAACATGAGAAAATGAAAAGAAATTGGGGCAGAAAACCAGAAAATCACTGCCTCAACACGACTGCTAGCACTGATTCGTTTCTGAGTCAACTCCAGTGAATGTGAAGTTTATTTAATTCAGGTTTTTTCTACCGTCTCCCATTTTGCAAGTAGCATTTTACATTGAATTAACTTCACTACAGCAAGAGAATAAACTCACATAGCCTTGAAAATATCAGATATATCCATCATAGCACTTTTTAACTCAGCTTATTTGTTTTAAGATCTGTTTTCATCAAATGTTAAAGCACTTAAGGAAGCACAGTTATAAAAATGTCTTCGTTAGATTTGAGCGCTTACATCATACTCAAGGCTTGTGCTTAAAGCTTTTATAACTTCATGGCTAAAGTAAAGCTGAAGTAAAGTCTTTAGTATATGTGTTTGCATCTAGGAGCAGAATAAAATGATCCCTGATTTCTCTTGTTGCTCAGGTTTTTTTCTGCAACCCTTCTGCATGTCAGCGCCCTGGAGAACAGGGTGTACTAAAAAATAATATGCTATACAGTATATTCTCCTTCACAGCTTCACCTTTTGTTTAAATGTGTTCATTTGTTTAAAAAACCATGATGGCGTCGGCTGAAATGTCAAAACTAACAGTAATCAACAAACCAAAATGTGATGTCTTGGTGACTATGTCCACTTCTTATATACTGTACACTATCTCCTAGATTAATGGCTCAGTCCTACAGTGGTCTGGTCCCACATCTGAGACACTATCAACTCAGGTATCCAACAAACCAAGACAAATAGGAAAAACAAGATGGAGGATTTAGGTGATATTTGTCAACATGACGTATTGTTCCTCACCTCAGCACCATGGGACAGGCTCCTTTTCCTGAAGGTCGGAGAGGGCTCGGCTGATCGTAGAGGCATCAGATCGCCGTTCTTCAACTGCTCCCCTGAGGGTGACTTTGGTACAGTCCACACAGGAGCAACATCTGAAAAAACCACAAGGTCAGTTAACAACAGAGTTTACAACAGTGAGAAGGAGAAGCATTGGGGTTTACAAGGATCTGATTTGTACTGGTGGTTTGTGTGAATACATGTTTGATTCTGGGTCAGGTGAAATGTATATTAATGAAAGGTACTAGGGAGACCACTGAATCACACTAACAGACTGAGAGGTTCACATAAAGTATATTGTGTTATTGACAGATGCTACACCTCAAGATACTGCATGTCTCTGTTAAAATGTAATATTTGTTCATTGTTGTTTCCTGGCCTGTTATATTGCCTGAACTAAAGTCCTATACAGAAATGATGATTCATTTTGACTCCGATCCACAAACAATAACATTTTCCGCATAAATATTAGAAATCTACATCCTCTACAGTCCATATCATGCTGTAACTGAGCTTTGAAACAACTCCATGCCAGTTAATTTACAGCCATTTAAAGATAAATACCTAATCTGAGAGTACCTGTCGTCACATACAGAGGATGAACTGTCAGAGGGGATAATTCAACCTTTTGAGGCCACTGATAAGCGAAACCCCTTTAAATGTATTTCAGTCAGTGTTTGTAGCTATGTGGTATTGCAGCATGCTAACCTTCTTGGAATGATAATGCTAACATGCTACTGTGATGTTTAACATATTAAATGTCATCCTTTGCTACACCAAACTCAAAGTCTATCTAAAGCTGATAGGATTGTCAATAGTTCTGCAAGCGAGTCTTGGAGAAATTCTCATTTTTACCTGGTTATGGCACTTGAGGGAATGTGGATCCCCATAGTTATTTCAATTCATTTGGTCTTGAACATATTGTATTCTTGTTTTTACAAAATATTGCTATGCAAATGAATGTTCCTGAACTGAAATTGATTGTTTCCCATGAGATTTTGCGTATAGAGTAATTGCCAAATTGTGATTTGCAGATGATATGAGGAAGAAAATGTCCATATTGAATATCAAGCAGAAATACTCTGTCGCACATCTAGCAACTGCAAATGTAGCTTCAATCAAATACGAAATAATATGTGTGGTAGTGATAAAAGTTAATGACACACAGGAAGACAGAGAGCAAGATTTAAGATACTGTCTTAGAAAGGCTCCTTAATGGATATCTGTTCAACAGCCTCAAAAATATCTCTATTACAGCTATTGCACTAAACCTATTTTACATCTTCTGTATGAACAGACTCATCAGAATCTCTAAAAAAAAATGAAAAAAAACTATAACCAAGCTACAAGTTTCCTCATGTAAAGGCTTCTTGTATTCATCACAGTATTAGATCGCATTTCAAAGCACTTATAATGGCCCTTCTCTCTAGCCCCGGTGCTCTATTGGGTTAAAAGTGTAATGCACCAAGAGGCTGTTCTTTGATACCCATTAGTGAGAAGCAAGCTGCGCTGACACAGGTTGACATGCTGGAGAGCCTGAGGCGAGCCTGTTTCCACAAAATGAGCAGAAAAACCCCTGAGGACGGGTCTCCGACTCGGTCAACTGACAGTTTATCTGACTGGAACCAAAAAGTATTAAAAGTGAACCTCCTCCAGCTGGCGTCCTGTCCAATGGAGACATGAGCAGGTGGTGCTCTGCCTGAAGGCAAGTGAAATGTGAGAGTTGTAGACATAGAGAAATTGATACTCTAAAAACATAAGGTTATTCTCAAGACATTTGGGGGTCAGAGTTTATTTTATGAAAATGTTTTAGGGAAAACATTCTTAAAATAGATGTGTGTGTGCAAGTAGCTAGTTTACAAATACATCTACTGGTACTGGTGCTAGTGAGCAGGCGGTTGTCTGGGCCATTGGATAGGGGCATGCAGGTGAATCAAAAGGCCGTCGCAAATCAAACAGTGGAAAGACAAACAATCATGCAGTTTCCAATGGCTTTACTTTCCATTTCTGGGCTTTGAGATTGACTCAGATATTGTGACGCTTTCCCATCGGATTCTCACCCTACATGTTCCTCTTGTGCGCTCTACTTTTAGTTTGAAAAGTATCTGCTCTTTCTTATTTTGTTATGCTCCAAGGGGTTTGCAAGGTAAATGTCCTTAAAAAGGGAAATGTACTGTGTGTGGGGTAAAAGAGACAAAGGGTTGGGCTTCAAGCAGCATATTGCAGTGAGAGAGGGAAGCTAGAGCGAGCAGCAAAGATCCTCTGTGATCAGCTGATAATTGCTGTCTGGTTTGTGACTGGCAGGTTTTTGGTGGGAGTTTGCAAAGATCCTTCAAGTTCCTTGACTGTCTTTGTGATAACTAGAGCTGACTCAGAAAATCTGCTCCTGTTGTGTAATAAAAAGAGCCTGGAGGGACAAACGTGCCAGCCAAACTCTGTCCAACCTCATGCTCGGCTCTCTACCAAAGAGTCAGTTGCCCATGCAGTGGCAAAGCTTTCCTGTGTGGGCGGAACAGATCCATTCAACCACCCAACCGACCAGACAGTCACTCCTTTATCAGCTGCATCAAATGTGGATGCTGCTCATGCCGGTGAGCCTCAATACCCATCACTTGACATAACTGAGTATCCGAACAAAAAATCTCCTCACTGAGGTGTGGGGGGGACATGCCGGAAGCGAGGAGCAGCTGGACCCCCACAGGAGTTATCAGCCAGGCAGCGTAAGGAAAGAGGTTTGTACTTGCGGCCCGGTGGTCCCATTCCACACCACCCCCTGTCAGATGAACAGGTACAGGGCAGCGTGACTGTTGGCGCAAAGAGAAGACCAACAAATTGTGAGGACGGGCAGATTGGCGAGGGATCCGGCACCCAACCAACCCAGACCCGAAAAGATACTCCCAAAGTCATACAGTAGATAGAGTTTGATCAGACTTTCTTGGCTTAAATACTCCACTAAAAACAAATGCACCTGTCGGGCTTAAAACACAGCAGCTGTCATATGTTTGGATTTACAGCAGTAACAATGGATTCTAGTCAGGACCCGTGAGATTAAGGTTAAGGAAGCTAGCAAACATCCATTTCCCTAGTCTTGTCCTCCAGAATATCCGGGGGAAGTTCAAAGGGTTGCCTAAGCCAGAAGGGACGTCATCCTTTCAGCATCTACTGATCTACAGGTTCTACTCCAAGTTGGAAGTAATTGGAACACCTTTACAGAGAGGCATCCAGGAAGCATTCAAATTGGATGCCTGAACCGCCTGATATGACGATTTTCAATGAGAAGTAGCAGAGTTGATTTGGGATGTCAAAGCACCCCTAAATCATCTCCAAAGGCATCTTCAGACCAAAAGGAGGGTACATTATCATACGGCAGCATGAATTGAGACAAAAATGCATACACGCTTAATCCAGGAATTACGTAAATAACTATAGTTCCTGGTGAGTGCACCACACACACAGTAAATGTATTCCTGGCTAGTTTACAGCTAACATCTGTCAGTTAGTACACAACCTGTTTAGTGTGAATAAGCTGCAGAAACTAAGTATTATCTTCTTCTTCGGCACACTTAAAACAATCGACCTCTCGAATTACAAGGAGGCAATAGTGTGTAGCAGTAGAAAATAACGGTCAAGAAAAGCTACATACAGTAATGGAGATGAGATGGTTTTGTCCACAGCAGAGAAATTGAATATGCTGCAGATGTTTGTGAAAGTTTTACGGGCAAAAGTGAACTTTCTTTTGTGAATTACTGGTGGCCATTGTAACTGCTGTGGATCCAAACTGACTACATCTGCCGTCTTCCAAAAAAAGAGCAAAAAACACACTCAGAGCCACCTTTCAGGCCTACAGGTAGTGAATGTTTGGGGCTCAACAGAGTATTACTTTGAATCATACCTAAAATGGTCTACCGGTGGGTCTACCTTCCAGCTTTGGGAACTATTTTCTAATCCTTGGTATTAAGCCAATACAACCACCCTTAGGCTGAAATTGTTTAAATTGAAACAACTTTATTAGATCCATAGTGATCTGGCACAGAGAGGGTTACACATGGCAGAGGTCTGACATTTTAGGCACCAGTGTGGATTCCTTTGACAAAGAAGTAATCCTTTGAGAAGATTTAAAAGTGCATAGTATAATATATTAGTCATTATTATTAAGTCATCATTCACACAAACTCTTTTTTCTTCTGACATGCATATGGGGAATCAACCTGGAAGGCCTTCAAGAATTATGTAAATAATATTGACAGTAAAACCAGAACATACACACTTCACATTCATGCTTGTACTTGGCACTACCGTTTTAAGGAACTATTGGTATTTCAATGCAGTTGACAACATTGAAGACACACAATAATGAACTGAAAAAAGGCACAGAACAAGACCAACAACAGTAAACTATGACAAAAAACATAAAAGGAATAAAATGAAACTATTTAACACATGAATGCAGCATTCAACAGCATTTACTACAGACATTGAAGTTCATGGTACCCATCAGGCAAGAGCCGCAGTCCAGCTGCCCTGGAAGGCCCTTGCCACTGGGGCTAGGCTCTGGAGGGAGGCACTGGAAAAGCAAGAGGGATGGGGGAGATGGAGGGGTCGGGGGCTCCAGTAGCAGCACTGGAACAGGGCCGGGGGCGGACTCACCGGAGGGGGCTCCGTGGCCGGCGTAGTCGCACTGGGACTGATGCGGTGGCTGGCTGTGGCTCTGGGTCTTTTGGAGGATGTTCAGGCACTCTCCCAGGCAGCTGAGTGTGGCGGCTGACGTGGCTTTGAGCAGCAGCAGGTCCTGGTCCAGACAGGAGAGAGGCCCCCGGGGGGGGAGAGAGTCTATGGTCTGGACCAGGTTCTTCTGCTGGCCCTCTGCTTGGGACATCACCTGGGGGGAAGCAGAGTTAACAATAAACTAAAGCAACCACACCTTTAATTTGGACTGTAGATTGTGAGGATTTACCCCTTCATGATATTGGCTATTTCAACTTATTAACTTGAAAATACAATAAATTCAGTGAGTAATTACACCTGTTTATTTTCTTCTTTCCCTTTCTTAACCAACCAATGAAAAGACCAAACCCAGCAATGACAGTTTAAACCAGTTTCATATACACCTTTCACCACCTCATTCATTGATACTGTTTTATTTGAGTGTAAGAAGTGACACGACTTCTAATAGTATCACCTCTGTCACCTTGACAGCTGAAACTCTTTAAACCAAAAAAGCTCTTCGCTGTGCTCCACAGAACATTTCTTACTGAGAATTTGTATCTGTATGACTCGCCTATTAGAGTCTAAATGTATCACAAAATGAAGACGACAAAGTTGGTTCTCGCTAGCGGGTAATAAGCTTCTCTCGGGACTAATGAATCAGGGTTGTTTATCAGCCTGGAAATGTTGTATTCATTAATATTGTATGGCTTCACAAACACTCTTCCTCGGCAGACACTTCAATAGCACATCTGTCTTCCTGCATCAGTACACAGAGCTATTTCTGAGACACTGAGAGCTGTTGCAGTGAGGTTATATGTGCCATAGACATTCATGCAATGGAATTTAAAAACGAATAAAAAGCACAGAGCTTGTCCTACAACTCTATTGGCTATTTACTTGGATCCAATGTTGAACTCCTCAGGCAGTTGGAGCTCAAATGGTTGTCTCCAATGGTTGTTATAATTAGATTCCCATTGTTCAGCATGCTGATAACATATAATTACAGTGCCCTTGAAATAATAAAGGCTTCATTTCACTAAGGCATCTCATGCGCCCCTCATAATGAGCATATTTTATGACACTGTATACAGTCATAAAGTGTTGGATATATAATCATTTATTGCCCTTCTTTAATATGTATTGTTGAAATGTCATAGCAGCTAATCAATTTCATTCCTAGGTGAAACAATAAATCCAACCAATCTGTTGCAGGTTCTTTGGGAAGATTCCGGATATTTGATTTCCAAAGTGATAGGGCAAAAAGTGTCCATAAGACTAAGAGAGTTTGAAAGGATTAAGAAAGAAACAATATACAGATTAGTCTGAAAATACTAAAGGAAAACTGATGGACAGCAGAGGGGTTGATTATCCTACTTGGGTGACATAATCATGTTGATTCTACAGAACACAACATAGATACATTTCAGGTAGTGCTTTATCAATAAAGAGACACAAATTAATACTGAAGTTATATCTTTCTAGCAAAGCTGCACAACTGTAATTTTCACTTCAGTACATATTGTGCAAAATGCTAAAGCAGGCAGAAAAGTAGAGATGCAGAGGAAGTATAACTGCATCAGTGATGCACTAGTAATAACACACATCAGCTGCCTCAGGGTCTATATTGGTTATAGGGGTCGGTGAGGGTGGCAATGCAAGTTTTGAGCAAATGTGTTGTTATGCAACCTTAACTCAAAAAGAAAAGAAAACATACAGTGCTCAGCAATAACACAGTTCAATGGGTTTTATGATGTACAGTCAAATGCAGCCACCTTACTTAATATAAGACAAACATGAAATGTTTGCTCATACACGGAATGAGGAAAATGATGACATGACTCGTGAGAGACACATAAAGAAGATAAGAAAAATAGATAACTTAGTGATTTAAAGCAAAAACATAAACAAGATTATTGGGTGCCAGAGCAAACTATATAATAAGGTATCCTTTGTCAGAATACATAAAGAAATAGTGACACAAACTCAAACACACACACAGCCTTTTCAAGAGTTATTTTTGACAAACTGTCAGCAGGTGAACATCATGAGTACAACCCAGCCTCATCTGGGTGACAAGAGAGTATACCTTCAAGTATAATTCAACTACACATGCATTAAATATGAATCAGTGTTTACCACACATTCATTTATGTGTGTTGGCGTGCCACAATATCGACACCGACTGCCAGATATTGATTTCTGTTCTTTTTACTATTGAAAATAGGTCAGATCGTATGTAATGTAGAGCTGCAAGCAACACATTGATTTGCACAAACCCCGCCTATACCCTCTGTCTCTCTCTCACAAACACATTGACAACAGACAAGTCAGTAAATAGCTCCTCCTCTCCGTGCACACTCAACATGTTCATACGCTGGAGGAAGAATTTTGGTTGGCAGGCCATTCCTGCATGTAATCAATCAGGAGCTCTCAAACGTTAGCATCATGAACACCTCTGCCGAAATGTCTCCAAATTGGATTCATCCACGTCAACTATGATGAGTAGACTATCCATGTTCGGTACCCAACCCTGTCATTATTAGAGACACAACTCTTCAATTAGGTCACACAAGTCTAAGATAACGTAAGAATACAGCCGGGTTGTCAAAGTTAGCACACTGTAGCTGCTAGTCCACAACTAACACCTCTTCAAATCTGTTATTTCTGATATTCCAACAAAAACTAGCTCATAAATGTAACTAATAAAAGACACTCATCCACAAGTTTATTTAAAAAAAACTCAGCATATGTTTTTAAATAATGTTGCTCTCTAGATTTTAATAAATACAAAGTTCATATTATTTATTATCGTTTGGTTTTGTAGGTTACATGTTAGTCCTGGCAGCAGAGATGTGCTACAAGGCTAACTCAGTACACCACACACACACACACACACACACACACACACACACACACACACACACACACACACACACACACACACACACACACACACACACACACACACACACACACCACACACACACACACCACACACACACCACACACACACACACACACACACACACACACACACACACACACACACACACACACACACACACACACACACACACACACACACACCACACACACACACACACAGCACGACACCCACACACACACACACACACACACACACACACACACACACACACAACACACACACCACACACACACACACAACACACACACACACACACACACACACCCACACACACACACACACACACACACCACACACACCACACACACACACACACCACACACTACACACACACACACACACCACACACTACACACACACACACACACACACACACACACCACACACACACACACACACACACCACACACACACACACACACACACCTCTCTGGAGCCAACAGGACCAGTGATGCTTCCAGAAATAGCCTAACCCCAGTGCTCCAGCTCTGCTGCTGCAGTGCCCAGTGGTGCTGCTGCACTGAGAGTTGAGGCGTTTGATGAGTTCCCATCAGCCGTGACAAGCTGGCCGAGGAGAGACGGTAATGTGGTCTGACTCCCACCGTCACACAGCCAGTGGAGAGACAGATACATGCATGGATGGTCAGATGGATGGGAGGTGACAGCAATATGTATTTTTTTTTTTTTATGTGGACTGCAATTGGAAAAATGAAAATGTTCCTCGTTTTATAATGACTCGAGGTTACTCCTATACAGAAAATATCTGTGAAACTTGATTGCTGTTATCATTATTTTGATTTCAAACAATACACTATGCTTAAAATATGGCTGTTTGGTACAGCATATATATTGTGATGTTACTGTTGCTTAAGATGTCAATACAAAACATGCAAATTGCAATGACAATGAAATAAGGAAATAGGTTGGCGCTAAACAACATAAAAACCAAAGAACCATGGATCATAGCTTATCCTCCCAGCTTTAGTGTCAATTCACTGCAATCACACTACGATTTTCATTTGTCAAGTCATAGGCATGGGAAGATTTCTCATCTCTACCATCCATTCCCACATTTCATACACACATGATTAATTAAACAGTGTGGGAATGAGTAAAAAGAACCTACATATGCATAGAGGGGTAATCGACGCAGAGAAGAACAGGAACATAAAATGTTAATTTACCAGTATTGTAACATCTAGGCTGTGTTATAAGCTTCTGCATGTTTTGGAGACTGGAGACAAACTATGAATCTGTAACACAAACACGCCCCGACAGCATCTCAATCCTTCCTGGATTGCATGTTATTGTCTTGACACGAAACAACACAAAGACACATCAAATTCAGTTTGTCCCAAAGCGTTCTATTAAGTCTGATGAAACTCTAACATAATCTCTTCTGTGGCTGAAAGGGAGCTTTCCAAAGTTTACAATTATGTTGTTAGGGTTATTGGCTTCTGCCAATTTCGCAGAAAGCCTGTGACAAGAACTAGGGAAATGGAGATAGGAAGAAATTGACATTTTGCAGAGCCTTTGAGCCAGGTGAGCAGTAGAAACTTTAATCTTGTGAGACAACCATGAACTGGCACAACTCTAACTCTGTGCTGCTGCGCTGCATGTGTGAGCCTCCTGCCGGATGTGAGGACGGTTCAGTGAGTGCTGGCGGGTCAACATGGCTGAGCTGAGGAGGCAGATCATGTGGAGGTTCACTGAGCTGCAAAGACTTGTTCCCACCATGAGTGTTTGAAAGAGAGCTACTGCATGAGCATCTGTAGCTGGGGGAATCAAACGTGAAAGTATCAAGACTGGTATGAATATTATCAGCAATAGTGGCCAGAAAAGAAATGGGATGAACGCAACAACATCACCAATGCTGGTGTTTAACCATAAATCCTCTGATAAATCAGCTCGGAGCAGCTTTCTGGTCTGTGTACCGTGGTGCATAAATCATGGAGCAAGCACACTCCTTTACTGTCGACTCCAGCCTCCCCCGGCCCTGCGCCAAACCTGTCAGACATAACAACCCGTTATGGATAAAAGGAAGGAGAACAACAAATGACATGAGGAGGGAGGGAAGCGGAGAAGGAACTGTGGAGAAGCTAAATGACGGCAGATATGAATCAGGTCAAAGGAAGCAGCAACCCAGTTCTTGTGTAAAGTAAAAATGAATCACACATCACAGAGGGCCTTGTTTTCTCCGCATGTAGAGGAACCACAAGCACCAAAGGAGTGTTTGTTTTGCTTAATGATCACACCATCTGCTCAGTATTTACTCAAACTTTCCCGGGTTCACTTGAGACAGACTCTTCTAGGGAGAGGTGAGAAATGACTCTCCACTCGTGACTCTCTTTCTGTCAGAGTGAATCACTTAGGCAAGATATTCTTAGCGAGAGCGGGCACACGCACAGCGTGGTGCATCTGAATGGGGAATTTAACAACTTGAAGCCAGCCAGGTCTTCAATGAGCAAGAAAGGCATGAAAGAAAGATCTTTGCATGAAATATTGATGCGACTCCAACGGCGTCATCAGAATGACAAGCCGAGGAAGCAGATGATGCGGTGAGGTAAATGCCAAGTTTTTTAAACTGTTTATCTGATGGTGTGGTGCTCACATACTGTTCCAGGTTTGGAGGAGACACCACTGTGAGGTCTCAATTAAAATTAATAGGCAAGCAGTATTTTTTAAATAGACAAAAATGTATAATTTTTTATCTAGATAAGATGCCAAACATTTACCGGTTGCAGATTTTCAAATGGGAGGATTTGCTGTTTTTCTTTATTTTATAGACATTTGAAACTGAATATCTATTAATGCGTGTACCTTCTTTAGGTCAACACTTTTGGCTCACTCGTGATGGGCAGTTTTTGCTTTTTTTATAGACGGATAAATTAACAAGATATGCAAACAGACAACATATTAATTGATAATGTAAAAAGAAATTGGTTCGAGCATTTTGTAATTACGACATAGCAAACAGACCTAATTACACATCGAACAAAAACAGCTACAAATCAGTATTTTAGAGCAACATTTGTCCTCTTTTAGCTCTGTTTTTGGTCTCCATCAGCTCCTGAGGGGCTATTTAGCAACACACACACACACACAACATAAAACTCACCAATTAACATTAATTAAAGTCACCAACTGAGTCTTTCTGAAACGGTTTCACTGGATCAAAACAGAAACTGCTAAGAAGCCAAAACAATGAGCTGAATGAAGCTGACGTGGAACTGCCGAGTCCAAAAAGCAACATTTTTGTTTTCGACGACTTAACGACACGTCATTTTTCGAAGTATTTGAATTGTAACTTTATCGTTTTGTGAAGATGTGTCACAACTTATGGGAGAAAAAATCCTTCGTAACTTTATCTTTAATAAAAGGCATAATGGATAATAAAGGAAACAATACAATGAATATTTTAGCAGTGAACCCCTTAACACCTTCAGCAGCTGAAGGACAAACCAAGTATCTGGTTAGGAAGGATTTATTTTCATGATGGCCTACATGAACTATTCTCTGTCAGCTTCTATTTTTGTTCTCCGCACCAACACTTTACATGAACAGTTGCGTTTTACATTTAGAAAGCCTCTTGTCTCTGCTTGTCCATGTTTCTTCCTCCTTCCTTATTGCCAAGTCATCTTATTTCCATAATTCAGTGGCAAGATGAACGGCTGCCTGGCAACGATTCAAAGAGCCCATTTCATCTCTAAACCAAAGGGGGAAATCTAAGATACTGCAGGTAATGGCTCCAAAGTTTTCCAGCTACAATCATGTCTTCATCATGTTTTATCATTTACTCTTCAAAAACCCAACTTCAGGCCTAATCTATCATTAATCACTATACAGTTACTGCAGACAGGCTATTAAGAAGAGACAGAAACAACTTTCCTCTGCTGAAAGATAGGCAGAGAGTGAAGCTGGGCTGAGAGTATGGAGATGTGGCAGATGAGGAAGGAGTGGTCCCTACAACTGGCAGGTCTGTTAACTGAGGCGAGGAGAATTAATGAGGATTTAAAGCTCAAACTAAATCAGAAACTGATTGTAAATGTAAAGTAGAGGGTTTTTTTAATTAGCTCAGGAGGTGCTTGCAGGTCTGTGAATGTAAGCTCTTGTTGAAATAGAAATCAAAATGTATAAATTCAGGGATTAGCAGTGATTGAGAACATTAAAATATCCATATGGGCCACTCGCTGGCACTTACAATTTATCTTTTTTGCACACATGGACACTTAAAAACCTCATATGTTGATGACTGCACACACTGACCCTGATTCAACAACATACGCTCCACCAGCTCTTCCCTCTGTCAACAGCCATGTTAATCAGTATTGATATATACCATAAAAATGCCAACAGAGCTGAATTTACAGTGAAGACGGAGCGCACTGCAGTCAGTGTCAAGGCTGCCAGGAAGCCAGAAATATCTGCTGAACTCACTGCACCAGTGTCCCACCTGAGACCTGATCTGTAGAGGCTCTGAAGGCCACGCAAAATACAAATCATCAGAATAACTCAATGCCTCACTTGACTTTCTCACAGAACATCAGTTTTAGAATTTGTATGGGAAATTGCATCATCCATGCTTTTTTATTAAAATGACCTCCATTATGTTAATTTATTTTGGCATGATTAATAGAAAATAACCTGAGTTGTGCTACAGGAGGGTAACCTTCTTTTTTTAACCCAACGAACAAATAGTAAATGGAGTATTAGCTGATCAGAGGCAGAGCATGGCAGGTCCGGTCATTTTGTATTATCAGTATGTGCTACTGTTTGTTGCAGAGCCATGGCCTTGTGTACAATTAGCCTTAGTTGTGTGTGCTGCTGTACAAGACATCATTGTGCAGTAGATCCCAAAGAAGAATTAGCGTGCTAGTGGTCATGTTGTCTAGTAAAGTGCATTTTCACCCGTTTACTTCCTTTCCTTGAAATAACGTTTAAATCAATTGCCTATGCCTCCTCTTTGAATTCCAAGTAATGAAGCCAAGGGTTTTGTAAAAAATACTGTTATGCCTTTGACACCCACCTCTTTGACCTCCAGCAGCCGTTCCGGGTACAGACTCTTGGCCCGCCGAGCTGCAGCCGGAGATTTGTGGTGGGTGATGGTTACGATGTTGCCGGGTGAGGCGGCGTGGCTCAGATGCCTCTGAGAACCCGGGGATGAAGATGGGGTTAGGTGGGGGAGGAGGGAGAAGCTACGGGTCCGACCAGAGGTTGAGGAGCCCTGGGGGGAGCAGGGGGTGGCACAGAGAGGGAGAGAGAGTAGTGTGGGAATTTTAATGTGGAAGGAGCATGATAATGTAAAAGGAAGAGCATGCTCTTAAAAAACGTATAGAAAATATTTTCAATAAGGTTTATATTCCCCAAATAAAATCTTTGTTTAAAAAAAAAGAAGTATATGAAAGTGTGCCAGTTAAATGTCAGCTAATGCTAGCTGTTAGCTAATCATGATTTAAACTACTAACCAATCTTAGCTAGCAAGCATTTTGCTTTATATATTTTTTTTTAAATGGGTCATAACACAGCATATATATTTATATATATAATAATGTGGCTTGAGGAGTATGCCTACTCTCAGATTTTATAAAAAAGCTAACATTAGCCAAACCTGTAAGCCTTAAGAGCAGGATGTGTTTTCCTATTCTCACTAACTTTGGACCACTTGCTCTCAGGCCAATGATTCCTTGAATCATACAACTTTTAATTAAAAATGTTGAACTGGATTATACTGCTATTATATATTAGTCAGATGTTGACAAAACGTTTTGGTGCTCAGTTTCTGCGAGAGAAGACTGTGAACTGTGCTGTAAACACTGGAAAGCCTAACCATTTCACTACCACCAGTATCTATAACAATTCACAGTAAAACCATAGAATAAAAAATATGCCATCTCTTCATTAAGTCTACAAGGGCTCATCAGACGGACACCAAAACAAATGTCTGAGACTTGTCTTAATCAGAAACAGTGAAAAAATGTAATCTTGTTGGAGAAGCTTCATGGCTTGTGGATGCTGGTTTGTTTTGCCATCCTTTTTGTTATTTCGCTTTGTGTTCTCTGTGCCGAAGCTACAGTAAAGTCACATTACATTCTTCATCTTGATGCATCCTTCGCTTCCCCTCAGTGACTCTTGTCTCTTCAGTTCGCTGAGCTATGTGCTCATGCAGACATCTCAGACCAGTACCTCTCTCTCTCCTGTCTTTACCCTCCATTAGCTTACAGTAGTGCAGACAACACACCATAGATTTATCCCTCAGAAACGCACAAAGGTCATGGCAGCGGGGAAATAAAATAGATTCAATAGATCAAATAACCAATTCCACCACAGGACATTGCTCACTAAGTGGGAAACCACCACCACCGATTGTGATGTGGTAACCCAGGAAACCAGACCTATGACCAACATTGTGTGTTATAATGTCATGTCTATGATCAGGTGTTAATTGCTTGTTATTCGCTGAATTCGAAAGTCTTTAGAGAGTAGTAAAGACACCGCATTTGGAAAAAATAAGAGCATTTTCTTTGTGATTAAATGCATCCAAATCCATTCAAACAGAGTATAATGAGCTTACAGTGAGAACACTGTTGTATTGTGAAAGGCAGAGCAACGAGGCGTGAGTAAGCAGAAAAGGAGATGGGATTTCAGTGTGCAAACAGCTGAGGTTTCGTCCTCCAAAACTGGCACAAAGCCCCGAGCATTTCAAGAAACTGGAGTGTCAGAACAAGAAAATGCAAGGAGGAAAAGTAAAGGGGGGGGAATGATGGTGGGAAGAGTGGAGTATTGAGCAGAGGGGTGAGGAACATGCTGAATATTGTAAGGGAAACTTCTGTGTAGCAATGCAGTGGGAGTCACCGACTCAGGAAAGAGACACGGGAAGAGCAGGAGCTTTGATGTCAAACACTGATGGTTTATTTGGAGCTTCGGCCGGAGAATTCACATCACAAGTCCAAGAGCCAGAGGTTCTGACTTCACGGTAGAGTTGCCACGTCAATTCTGGAGCGCCTCTCTCTCGTTAGCCCATTTAACTGGTTTCTCAGAGAGTAATCAACATATTTGAGAAGATAGCCTAAACAGTTGGGAACACTGAGTTACTTGCGTCTGACACTTATGGCCTCGAATATTTCACACCTTGGAGTCCACAAACACAGAGAAGGAAGTGTCCCAGTGTACCCACAACAATAAACCATCTGTAACCTAGGGTTGCCCGATCATAGAATGGGAACAACAACATTATGGCTGAAGCAGCCTATCTCCTTAAAGGAGATAACAGACGTCAGGGTTGGTCATGCACGTCATATCTAGGAGTCTAGGTCAATTATTTCAAACAAATATAGGTGTTGTAATTTGTCTAAATTAGACGTTGTATGAAAAAAATTACGATTTCTCAGATATAGGGTCAATATATATCTGACAGGGCATTGTGTTCCATCACCTTTGGCCTGTGACCCTTTCAAATCAATCGGTGTCGACTTTTGAACCACGGACCTGTCTTTTTCTCTATTATTCAAATGATTTTATAAGCCTAGAGACGTGCCAGTATCCAATATTTGGGAAGAAGAGAAAACAATTGAAAACTTATCATCATTCCAGTTTAAAATCAAATTCTTAAAATGTTGTTTTCAAAATGTAAGCTTAATTAAATTCTAATTCAAATTGTTTAAATATTTATTTTGGAAATATCTGTGTTTTTATAGAGTAAGAAGAAGGCTGCCGGGATTTTTTTTTAAAAAGGTAAAGAGAAGAAGATATCCTCACTGCACTGGCAGATCGTTTCACTCTGAAGGACATGACGCTCCAAAGGCTTAAAGGACTCAAGTTACAAAGAGATATGACTGGGTAATAAGATGTCTGCAGTAATCTTGTGACATTCAGAGTTGTGTTGCAGTCAGAGCTAAACACATCAGAAACGTTGTGAAAATCTTGCAACAGCTTGATAAAGAATGCAATATACAAACACACACCATTACTGTGAGCTCTACCCCTTAATGTGAAAATTCATGATAAAGGTTTAAGGCCTTGATACATTTAGGACCACCTGTCTTCTAAACGTTTACATATAAGGATACTCCCAGCTTGACTAAACTCAGGTTTAAAATTCGTGCTGCGTAAGAATCACAGGTGCTGTGCTGTCACTCGGTCGGGGGTGGACCTGAGAGAGGCAGCGTGGGTAGCTGTGCAACGGTCAGCTGCTGACCTGTCATGTTCTGCACTACAGGGGACAATGCTAATTACACAGTATTAGCTTCTCAGTATTATATTATCTTGGTTAGAGGGTATGAAAATAGTTTTTAAATACATATACACAGATACTAGGGCTGCAGGATTTGGGAAACATACCTAATTGCTATTATTTTTGACTGATAATGCAACTGAAATATTATTTGCAATAGGTTAGGTGAGGAGGTATTGATAACGATTTAATATTATAGAACATTATTCACATTATCATTGAAAAAGTCTGTACTTATTCATTCAGATATTGTCACATATTTGTCCTTTACCAAACATTGTGCTTATTGTGATTTGGATATTGCACTATAGTCAATATTGTGGTTTCAATAAATGCTGTAGCCTAAACAGATTCATTTACACAGATACAACTATTTGTATCATGTAATCATAGTAGAACTTTGAAAAAAGCTGAGTTTAAAAGACAAAGACAGCCGAAGACAACAGCAGGTGCAGGAGCTGCTTTTTTCCATTCAAGCCGAAAGTAAACAACATGATGAAAGACAGTCAAAGTCCACAGCCTGACTTTTACTGCCCTCCCTGTCCAGGGTTACGTGTGCATGTAGTTACATAGTTACTGGCCTATTTATCATGTTGCTTATTAGCTTGCAGATGTGCTCACTGTCTGACCAGGGGTGCGTTTTCTTTTGCTTAGGAAGGTTCCTAACTGAAATACAATGCAATGACCCAGGAACACGTCAATGGCAGCCATTGTAAGAAGCTTGCTTCAATGCTGCGTTTCTTATCTCCTTCAGCATAGGGAACAATGAACCATCCTTTATGAATGGAATGGAGATAAGGCCTTGCAACAATCCTTCACTTGCTAAAAAAAAAAACGACAAATTTGTGTTGTTGTGCTGGACTGTATTGTATTGTTGGGCACTGTTATACAAGAGCTTTTTTATCCAGGACTAAAATCTACTTGACTACAAATCATTGACAGGCTTTGCAGAAGCTAGAAAAACTATTTTTGGCCATTTTATGTTTCTTTTAACTGGTTTTAGCTGAAATGATGAATCCAGGAAAACTACATTTGCCATCTGAAAGCAGCTACCAGAAAAACCACCAACTGTAACCGGACAATCTGACAGAGAAAACTGACTGATAGATCGGTGGCGCAGAAATGAACAAGGTGAAGGTCTTGTACTGAACCTGATGACAATCCATAGAAATCTGCAGCCACAGGGAAGAGTCTCCACAAATAATAATAATCCAAAATTCAGATTGTTGTTAGATGTAATGGTGACAACATGTTAGTGGGGTCGCTAAAGACGATGTGGTTATGTCATTATGCAGATATAAACTGTTAATACTAAGGGAGAAACATACTTTCCTATGTTTTTCTTGTATACCGTAGATAAAAGGATTCTGCTTCTACCATTAAGGAGATTAAGTTCAAAGCAGGTGCTGTAAATAGAAACATTACCATTAAAGAGTGAAACAAGGAAATAATATGTCCTTTCAAAGATACATGAAATACAGAAGTTTTAAATTATTGAGTTGAGTGTCAAAGGTAGTTCTGAGGCAGCTGATGATCACTTCCTGAGGCGAACCAAAAAACTAGCGAACCAAAATATTCTACCTTGTTCTTTCACCACATTAACTTCATAATAAATGCATCCCTAAAGCCTGCGTCACACTGTCCCAAAATTGACACCCGATGGAGACACGATAAAGGAAATGTTCAAATTCGGCTCTGATCGTAACAACATCGGGACATTCGTGAGGGCATCTTAAGCCATCGTATGACCGCCGGTGGAGTTTCTCAGGCTCCGGCAGCAACTTCGTGAGCGGTGGCAAAATCTTTGGCATGCCAAGAAATTGCCGAAAGACCTTTGCGAAGGTTCATTTTCGTGTTGAATTCGTGTGTCCATTTTGCCCTTTGTAAGGCCATCGTGAGGGCATCTTGTCAAATCGTGTCATCTTCGTCTTTACTTCGTGTGATCATCGGTGCCATCGGGCATTTTTCGCCTCACGAAGACAATACGAAGGAAACAAGAAGCTGCCCGATTGTCTTAGGAAGGCAACAGGACTACGTGAAGCCCTCGCAATGCCGTTGTGTAGCCATCGTATTATAGTATGATGACATCGAGATGGGACCACGGTGTCTGCGAAGACAGCCGAATTTGAGTAGCTCAAGCGTTTCCCATGTGTCATGGTAACGTGGACATATAAAAGGCCAGCCTCAGAGCATCTTCCTCAGTCAGTCCTGAGCAACTCTACAGAGCAGAGGCGTGTGTAACTCCCAAAGCTTCAATCACAATTCAGTTCCTGCAGAATGGCATACTTTGATGATGAGACAACCAGGAAAAAGAAGGCAGCAGCATTGCTTCTTTTGATACACCTCAGAGAACATGATGAGCAACTCTTACAGGCCCAGCACCTCCTCTTACAGGTAAAAATGGTCTTATTTCACTTTGTCATTTCTTGCTATTTGTGACCTGCTCTATCGAAATCAGTTGCAGTGATGATACCTGTATTAAGCAGGTGAAACAGGAGCATGAGGACACGGTGTGCTATGTTTCCTTGCAGATCGCTTCTCTGGTTGTTGTATTGCACAACAAAATCATGTAAACATGTTATGTAAATAACCCAATTTGTGTTCTGAGAAACTGAAAAGGATATTACATTGTTGTAATCTCCGATCAGCAATTTAATTTCCCACGTGCGGCCGAAGGTTTTATACCATCGGGAGGTCACGTGACGCCTTCGTGACCTAGTTCGAACGCATCGTACTCTCAATACGATGTCGTGTGTCCTGCGGGTGTAAACTACTATAAAAATGCACATCTTCGTGTTGCCTTCGTGTGTGGTACGGTACGGGTGCCATCGTGTGGCCTTCTGTAGGCATCGTACTTCGGCTATTGCTTGGCTGTTGACCAAGTTCGGGGCCATCTTCGTGTGAAATTCACAATTCCATATTCGTGTGTCCATCTGGTGTCAATTTCGGGACAGTGTGACGCCAGCCTAAGGAAAGTCCAATAAATGTTTTTACGGCATCTGTGTCGATCAACAGTATATCATGTGTCAGCACTTTTTCACTAACTTTCTTATAAACACAGGGACAATAAACCCCAAGGCAAGGCAAGTTTATTTATATAGCACTTTTCAACACAAGGCAATTCAAAGTGCTTTACAAAAAATGAAAGACATTAAGAAAAAGGCATTTAAAATCAGTCATTAAAAAGAAAAGCTAATAAAATAAACATTAAAAGAAAAAATACATGGATAAAAGTTTCAGTGCAGTCTAAGATATGAATAGTTCAATTAAAAGCAGCGACAAAAAGAAAAGTCTTCAGCCTGGATTTAAAAGTAGTAAGAGTTGCAGCGGACCTGCAGGTTTCTGGGAGTTTGTTCCAGATATTTGGAGCATAATAACTGAACGCTGCTTTACCATGTTTAGTTCTGACTCTGGGGACAGAAAGCTGACCAGTCCCTGAAGACCTGAGAGATCTGGATGGTTCATAATTTAGCAGGAGGTCAGAAATGTATTTTGGGCCTAAACCATTCAGTGCTTTATAAACCAGCAGCAGTATTTTTGAAATCTATTGTTTGACACACAGGAAGCCAGTGTAAAGACTTCAGAACTGGAGTGATGTGATCCACTTTCTTAGTGTTAGTGAGGACTCGAGCAGCAGCGTTCTGAATCAGCTGCAGTTTCCTAATAGATTTTTTTAGTGAGACCTGTGAAGACACCATTGCAGTAGTCGAGTCTACTGAAGATAAAAGCATGGACAAGTTTTTCCAAATCCTGCTGTGACATTAGTCTTTTAATCCTAGATATATTCTTTAGGTGATAGTAGGCTGATTTAGTAACTGTTTTAATGTGACTGTTGAAACTCAGGTCAGAGTCCATGACTACACCTAGATTTCTGGCTTTATCTGTTGTTTTGAACATTGCACACTGAAGCTCAGCGCTAACTTTTATACGTTCTGACTTGGCTCCAAAAACCATTACCTCAGTTTTATCTTTGTTTAATTGGAGAAAGTTCTGACACATCAAGTCATTGATTTGTTCAATGCACTTACTCAGTGTTTGAATTGGAGCATCGTCTCCTGGTGAAATTGTTACGTAAATTTGTGTGTCATCTGCATAGCTATGGTAACTTATTTTGTTGTTTTTCATTACAGTCCTTTTATTTTTGGTGATAAATAAATCCTGCTACACCTATCCTGTTATCAGGGATGTAGCCACCGCTCCGCTGCTGGTTGTCACAGAGGAGCTGCAATTACGATCTGAGAGGCAGACAGAGGCTCAGGGACGGATTAGACCACAGCAGTGGGTACAGTAATAACAGCTGCTCCCGTGGTAATGCCCCACAGTCGACCAACAGGAACTAAACGCCCGTTCAGCTCCACAGGGCAGGAAGAAAATGAGAGAGACTGTCTTCCTTCCTCAACTTTTTCCTTCATCCAATTTTCTCTCGTGTTTTGACTGCTTTCTCTCATCACGGCTCAGCAGAGTAATTGGACTTTCCCCTCGCTCCAGCTGTGCAGCAGTTTGAAGAAGAGCTACGTGTTGAATGAGCGAGCTGGTGATGAGGCAGCACAATGAGGCTGCCGTGATTGTTCAAAAGCACACATGAAAAGGGTTTTTTGCAAAGAGTAGTCTGAATGTGGAAGAAAAGGTGCTCTGCAGTACAGAAGTTGGAGTTTTCCATGTCCTTTTTAACGTTTAAATAGATAAAACTATAAGTGAATCTCTGCGTTTGACTCACCAGCAGCTCCTGGCCTCCTCCTGCTCTCTCCACACTCAAGTGTTCATCGGAGCCCTTCAGCTTCCTCACCTGAAACCACACACAGAGGCAGAATAATGAGAAATATAATACATAAAGTGAAGTGAAGCAGGAAGATGAAATCATATGCTTTAAAGCAAGGCAAAGAGAAAGGTGCTTTATAGTAGAGTAAAAAGCTTTGCTAGTTTATAATGTCTGACAGAGTTTGTTATTTTGTATACCTTTTTATAATATTACCTACAGATTTATGTGAGATAACAATGAGTCACACACACTTGTCCTGTGCTGACAGTGACAATGAATTGAAGCAGGTTTTTTTTTTTTACGACATAGGCTAGGAACAATCCCACACCTACAATTCAACAATGTCTTTCAGTCCAGGACAGATTTACTGTACAATGAGAATCAGTTCATCTGAAATCAGCATAATCAAAGTGGGAAATCATGGAAACTGTGTTTTTAGCCTGAATCAAGAGTTTTTAAGAAGCCAATTTGCAAAATAGATCAAGATATTTTACTTAATAGAATGCTATCTCACTTACAGTATATGACGTATTCAATTAGGGTTTGACTAAACCGTAGAAATACATTTCAATATAAAGCAATCAAATACAACCAAGCAAAACATCTTGTTTACAACCGTTACAGAGAGTTCACTCAATACCTGTCTGAAACTGTCAATAATGACTTTGTGAGACACACAAAGTGGGATTAAGAGCTGCACAGATTAAGTATAATAGACTGTCAAGATTGTTCACAATTATAAATAGATATATGTTTATCCTTCACACAACTTGAAATGTCCACTGGCATTTCTGCAATAGTTTCTACAAATAAACACAAAATAATCATCAAATGAACTTCAGAAGTTCAAAACATCAAAACATATTACAAGCATCCTACAATTAGCTTGATCCTTTACAGCTGCGGCCGGCCAACAAATATACCTTGACAGCACATTATTAACTTTAATACCAAAAGTTGCCAAAGTAATAAAGTTGGAATAACTTGACTACTCATTCTCCACTGGATCAGGAAAATGGGGCTACGTCACACCAAAGATAGAGACAGCCCACAGATGAATACCTTCAAGTCCTGGCAGAATATTTCCCAAATATGAAGCCATGATATGCTAAAAGACTGGTTGTGGATAAAGATAGTTATTACTGCACCCAACACTGTCCTTTTTGAGAAATGAGGCCACAGAGACATGAACAGGACCATAAAACCAGGAATATTAGATACATTCATTCTCAAATAAGGCAGCAGAAGCGTGCTGACATATTTCCCTAAATCGCTAAATCTTCTGTCAATAGAAGTGCTAAAAATATTCACAAATTATACAGGCAAGAGAAGTTGCACATGACACGTTAAAGCTGAGCTCTGTGTGGCGTGTAAGTTGCGGATTTTCACATATTTTACAGTTTGTACATTATTTATTACATTTCAAATTCATCAAATATGCAAGAAAAGTAGTCTTCACTTTTTTTTATCTTGCATTATTTGTTAACTATTTGAACAAAGGTCGGATTATTTATTTCCTGCTTAAATGATATTCACAGACAGATTTAATTGATTAGGCGTTATTTATTGTCTGCAGGGACTTGGCATTTATTTGGTTGACATTTATCAAAGTCTGTAACTGTGGATTTAATCTCCCTGTGAGTTCATAGGTAAAGAGTGAAGAAGGAGTCAGAAAATGAAAGAATACTCCGTTTTGTCACTTACATCAGTTATCTACAAACAGATACAACTGGCATTTACTGGTTGTCAATATTAAGCAATTATTCAACAACTAATTTATAAGTGAAAATCTAGTTTGTGTGGAGTGTAGATGATTAGTTGGTAATTATGTAAGAACTTGGCTAAGTATTAAGAGCTGGAGCTGGAGGCTGCTGCACGACTTGGAGAGAAAAGGTAATTTTAGCAGGCCAGGATGATGAGAATAAGGAGCCGGGAAAGAACTTTAAAACTCCAGAGGGAACGTTAAATGAGTCTCCTGAGGAATGATGCCATTTGAATTGAGAAATGGCATGGAAAAATGTGTCACCTTTAGACTCACAAGAAATGTCAGTAAACTAAAGCAGAACAGAAACAGAGAAAGGCTCACACACTGACTGAAGATGGTTTCAACCTGGGGGGGGGGGGGGGGGGTTCCTTTCCTGTGCACAGAATGACAAACTGTTGAACTCAATAACCTGACCTGAGTTTACTGAATTCAATTCTCCCCCTGAGGAACATACCTAAAGCTAGGAACAGTGTCATGTGTACAACTTACTTCCTCTCTGTGTGTGAGAGTGAGAGTGTGTGTGTGTGTGTGTGTGTGTGTGTGTGTGTGTGTGTGTGTGTGTGTGTGTGTGTGTGTGTGTGTGTGTGTGTGTGTGTGTGTGTGTGTGTGTGTGTGTGTGTGTGTGTGTGTGTGTGTGTGTGTAACCTTGGCACTGCTGTCAGAGTGACGCCTGGCACACGCTTGGAGCTGATGGATCCAAAACTGCTGCTCCTTGGCGTCGGAGGCTAAAAAAACCAGAACAAAAATAAATGAGATTACAGAACAAGCCTTAACTTCCTTTCCACACACAAGACATAAAGAAACACCAATCAACTGTTACACAAGTTCACAGTCAGGTCAATAGGCTGTTACAAGATAGCTGTGTGCCATAAAGTGTCTTTCCACATTCATTCAGTTTTTATTATTATTGTACTGTGGATCCAATTTCCTCAGATGCACTTTGAAATCATTGCCCAAGGTTTTTACACAGGAGGACCAAAGCGGCAGTTATCACAAGACCTATTTTACATTTTAATCTCTTTGGAAGAACATTATTTAATATACTGTCACTGTTTTAGTATCAATTTACTGTGTATATGCTTTTTCACAGCTTTTCTAGAAATCCAAGGAATAAAATTAGAAGAGCAAATTATTGTCCTCAATATGATTACAAATATTTTAGGAGTTTTGGAAACCAAGGTGGAAGAATACAGATAATAAACAATCATGGGTGTTCAAATTATTTTGGACAAAAAATGTGCCTATTTTTACCAATTAATCATAAAATCACTGTGCCTGCATCAGAGGTCTATTTACTATTTATATATGACAAAAAGTCTTAACAATTTAAACAAATTCAGATTTTCTTTTTAAAGTAATCGCTAAGGCCATTTAATGTCAGAAGATTGTTATATAGATATCTAGAACAAAATGCTACTTTAAATGTCTCAGAACAGAAAAACAGAACATTTGAGAAATGTAAAAAAACACTACACATTCTTGCTTGATTATAACACATTTGTTGCATATTTTGTTTGTTTCAACTTCCGACACATGAGCTCAGTATTTATTTAACTCCAGGTTAGGAGGATCAAGTTCAACCGGTCTGAAACGACGCAGTGAAAAGTGTTTGACCCCAAACTCAGTTCACTGAGAGCCGGACACATGGCATTTAGTGCAGGTGTCGAGTGTGTAGGTTTCAAGTGTGGTTTCCTTTAGGCACTAAATTAGTTTCAAGTATAAGATTAACACTAACTCAAGGCTCAAACAAATAAATGGGTTCATAATGCACAAACAGAAAAACGAATACAAAAGAACATTAGTATTAACACTGAACACGGGTAAAACCTAAAAAAAACAATAGCTATGTGCTCAGCTAAGATGACAGATTTCTGGCTCTAGCTATACTTACGGGACCGACATGACACTGGTATCAATCTTCTCATCGAACTCTTCCACTGCTGTGAATTAATATAAATCGCACAGCCCATAAAATGATCAGGGAATCAGCATAACAATTACAGAGCAGGCTTGAAGCCAGAGTTCATGATTGAATGTCAGAAATCAGTGAAAGCCCTCCTGCTGGATGTCAGTGATCTCTTTGGCAGCCAAATGATTATTCAACTGTCCTCCCGGCTATGTGACCCTGATACTTTCTCCATGAGGTCTGTGCATCACATCTGAACCCCTTCATTTCCCCCCCCCGTCATAAATTGAACATTCAGTATTCAAAGGGTAGAAGCAATTAATTTGGCCGATTTGCCAGCAGCACAGGAAGCAGCTTGACACTCTCTGCATGCTTGTGGTTTTTCCCCCTTCGGCGCAGAGACAATACCCCCTGTTATCTGCACACAAATAGCTGATTGAAGCTCAAAATTGCTGACTAACACAGCGAGCTGCAACCCTGACATTCGAAGGAGATGCTGACTGTCCGCTTGTTTTGACCTGCTCCAGGTCAGACTGGAAAATAATATCCTTCTGATCCCATTTCACTGACTAATTATCAGAGAGCGATGTCTTTGGTGTGTCTGATAACACAGGCTGGAGGTCAATCACAACTGTAGGACCATAAAATAATAAAATAAAAAACACATGTTATCACTTGACGTATACACGTTCATTTTAAGATAATAAACTCTTTCTCGCAGTTTTATTAATTTAACATTTTTCCCCCTATTTTTATCCAAAGAAGAGCTTTAAACAAATGCAGCACTTTCTCTTTTAGAGAATTAATGGCTTTATTATAAGGAGTAAAATGCACACTGAAATGACACTTGTAATTCTCCATTCTATGCAAGTGTTTTTTTTTCAGTGCTGCTGAAAGGGATTTCAACGTATGGAAAATTATATTTGCACTTGTCAATCAATCACAGCTGAGACATCTGCTGCAGTCATGATGAGAGCACCTACAAAAGGCCTCTTTAAGTAAAGAGGCAACTCTGAGAAAATGAGACGTTCACAGACCTCCTGTCAAGTGCAGCGCTCGAGCCGATCTCTCCCACTGGGAGCGGCATCTCGCCTCTCCGGGAGAGAACACAATATTCACACAGAAAACACCTGTGCCAAGCTCCTTCTGCAAAAAGTATACCTTCCCACTTATACCTCATCATCAACCAAAATCCGTTTCTCTAAAAGGAGCTACTTACCCAGAGTGTGAGCCTAAATCTGATATTTGTTCTGCAATGTGCACAAGCATAGCTGTGATTAAAGATAATTAGCTGTCTGTATTGAGTAGAGCAGTGTTGCTATGCTAATATGCACCTGTTTGCATGGTGATGCAAGAGATATGCACACTGCTTTAGCTCAGAGCAGGACATGCTGTTCTCATTCAGAGAGATGAAAAATTCAAAGCTGGGTTTGTGTCACATGAGGTGCAGCCTCAGTGGTAACATGCTGACAGCTCTATTCATGGGATGAATGCATGAGGGTTTGCGCTTTAAACTGAGACATGAGAAACTGGTCTGCCTGCACATTTGAAGAAAGCAACAATACACACTCATATGGGTCCATGTGTCTTATTTAAATGTAGATATCCATCCCAGGGAGATGGCTGAAGGATATATATACACACCATATTATATTCAAAATAAATGTCATTTTAGGTTTGACTTTAGGTTTTAATTTGCTCTTAAAGGTGGGGTAGGTAAGTTTCAGAAACCGGCTCGAGTGCACTAAAATTTGAAAGTACACAGCCGAAAAGAATCCGCCCCTTCCTTCAGACTTCCTTACAGAGCACCTCCTCCAACACACATGAACGCGCACATGACGTCAGCAGACTGGTGCAAGTGGCCGCCTGTTGCTGGCGAGTCATTGAAGTACTGCTGCAATGCACGTCCAATGACGGCACGCCCAATGAGGGCACGAGATACATTTGTGCGTGCACGAGATGGAAGGCTGACAGACAGGGCGGCAATCCAATCCGTTTAGCTGGCCCGGCTAAACGGATTGGTTGTACTTTTTACATTATTACGGCTTCCACAGATGAATTTTTTTTATGGATTTTTTGTCAAAGCACTTAAGATATTCATTGCTATCGGGATGTTAAGAGCATTCCATGGAATATAACAAAAAGTGTATCTCGAGCCGGTTTCTGAAACTTACCTATCCCACCTTTAATAGCTTTAACTAGATTTAAAATCTCCAGCTCCTCTACCACAACCATCAGCAACAAGTGGACATGGAGAACTACATGTTGCTAAATCCACTGCGGAGAATAAACAGAAGGGCAACAAGGCAACCATGGTAACCATGCTCGGGGGTCTTCTTCGCTGCTTTTGGTGTATTTTGTTGCGGAAGTACAGCGCCACTTACAGGCCCGGCATATGTACTACAGCGTGTGAACGAAATACTTTTTTGATATCGAATTTGGTTCGTTTGCGTTTTGTTTGCGTTCCCATGTAAATGGAGCCTTAGACTGCTGCACCTTGTGTGTTGTGTGCTGAGCTGTTTATTTAAATATGTATGCAAGGAAACTTGAATGTCATGTGTAGGCAGAAAAGTGTACTTATACATTACTTTACTGAACTACGTTATAAGATAAACACTATGGAGGAAATTATCATGAGGTCAATTTATTTAATTTTGGAACCTCTAAAGATCACAAAATATGTTATATGCTAATGAGCAATCTGTTTCTCCTGTTCTTTTTCACAAATGCACAAAACTATAGATCAAGCTTGTTTAAAACAGTCAGAATGTAGGCTCATACATTACTGAAAGGAAATGTTTACATTAGCTTTCCTTCAGAGAGTTAGAAGAGATGATTGATGCCACTCTGTAGTTAAATATGGATACCAGCATGTAGCCATGAAGCTTAGCTTAGCATAAAGACTGGAAGCAAAACAACTACCAATCCCTGTAAAAACACAACTTTACATTTCTGGTTTTGTAAGGATCAAAATACAAACTGCTTTCTTAAGATAACCGTCTTCCGACATGGGATTGGTGTCTGAATTTTATTACTTTCAAAAAGAAAGCCCAAAATGTAAAATCACATAATTACCAATCAAATTGTTTGCAGTAGCAAAAGCTAGACATATTTTTGGCAGATTTGTATTGAACAATGTTCTTGGCGAGGTTTTAATACTCGACAACAACAACAGATGTGTCCATAAAAATTTTGCAACATGTTTTTATTATTAGGATGCGTAGTGATTGAGCCACTCGGAAAGCTGAACACATGCTGACCCATAGCAAAAGTGATAAATAGCTTAATTTGCCATCTGTGCAACTAGACATGTTTACAATCCCACGCTCTTGACCTTTGCTTACATCAGAACACGAAGCCGATAGTCTCCCAACATCCGATTATCAAAGCCTCACTTTAAATTACTTTTACATATAATGCTTTGGTTTAGAGCCAGAAAACCATTCGGGCGACTTAATTGCTGTGTTAGATGTGAAATGCAAGACTTCTGATGGATCACAGTATACATTTTGCATTTATAATGAAACATTATTCAAAACTGAGAACAACGGTTGCATATAAGACACAAAAAATGGTAAAGGGGGTCATTCAACAACATCAAAAAAGCCATTCAAATGATTAAATGTATAGCTACCAAATAATAAATTATAGTTGGGAAAACATGCTTTCCATAATGATGTTTTAGACAAAAAAGCCACATCACCAACTTTTTTCTGCTCTAATCCAATTCTTACCAATTATTTCTTTGTACTTTCTGATGAATACTTTTTTTGAATACTTGAGAGAACACTCATTAAACACACCAGCTATAGCAGGGGTGTCAAACTCAAATACACAGTGGGCCAAAATTAAAAAGTCGGTACTAGTCGAAGGCTGGACTGGTTCAATGTTTATTGCAAAACTTATTGCAATGAACTTATTGCACTTATTAAACCTGGAACTAACAAAGCTTAAATTATTGCCTATAAAAACAACATTAAACATTAAATAATCAGTTGCATTCATTTCTTATGGCTCTATCTGCAGAGTCCTTTCTTATGATTACATTTTTCCACTGGCCAACAACAGCTGAAAAAAAACAATTTCCCTCAAAGAAAAAAACAAACATGCCCTGTTGTCATGAGAGAAAAAGTGCAAAAGGAAACATCCATTAAACTCAGTTTGCTGCTCTGTGATGCTAGTTCAAGCCAGATACTTGGCATCTCATCTTGGGTGCAAGTTCATTAATGTTTGGGGTCAGGCTCTGAGCTGAGGAAATCCTCAGGATTGAGCAAAGGTGTGCGTGCAATATACCGGCGGGCCAGATCTAATAGTAATTTAAAATTATCCTGCAGGCCGAAATTAAATCCACCAAGGGCCTGATTTGGCCCCCGGGCCTTGAGTTTGACACATGTGACCTATAGTGTTAAAAAAGTGTTATTGAATCTAAACTCAATTAATAATGTTGTATTTCATTCTTTACTACACTCACTTTTACTGCATTGTCTTTAATGGCTGATCAATATAAGCGTCTTTTTAGGATAAATAATCTGTATGATCTGTTATTAGTATGCCAAAGGCACTTGAATTGTGAGACTTTTTTCAGCTCTAAAGAATCACCAGCTGCATAAAGTCCAATCAACATCCAACAAAAAAAGATCAACAAGTACCCTGCTTGAGAGGGAGATCTTGGGCAAAACATGTGAAATATTTTGCTGAAGGATCACAATTTTAACATTGGTATCAACTTAGACCTTAAAACAACTTGTTTTGGTGGTTGGGTGTCAGATAGCCTTTTAGTCTTTCAAAGGCTTTTTAGAAGATGAATCACTGTGACACTGAAACTCCCGCCTCAAGGTAGCTGCAGATTAGCGTATCCAGTATCTTCTTACACCAGTTAACAACAAGGACATTTTGTACAAGCCTCTTGAAAAGGTATCAAAACTAGAATAAAGGTGGCATTTAAAGCTTTAGACAGACCATCAGCTTTCAAATCCTGGAAAATGACTCCTGACTGAACCTTGAAGTTACTCTTTTGCTACTGCAAGGTGAGCTACTGGGGATTCGTATGGTAACCAATACTAGATCTGAACCATACTGGCTTACGTCCATGTGAGCCTCTTTGTCGCTGCGGTTTGAGCAAATTTAGGTTTTTGAAAAAAGTGTTGATATTTAACCGCAATTATTTTCAAAGGAATAGTATTTAAAAGCAGTTTAATGTTGTTGGAAGTCTTCAACTTCTAAACCGGCCCAGTGTTTATTAAACTGAATGGTATCAAAAGATAACTTTACTCTCACAGGACTTTCTTGATCTTTCTAAAATCTCACTGAGGCATTTGAAACTCAACCCAACTTCATCTTCACTGATGGATCATTGTTTCCTCTCAGCTCGATACACATGGACCACTAAGTTATTCGGAAATATAGGCCAAGTTATTATGATATCCTCCCCCTCGAGAGTGAAAGGGGACATTCCAGCAGCTCAAGTGGAGCAACGGTAAAAAGGAGTTTCTCTCGCTTTACCAGATACAAGTCACTGAAAGCAAGGGCCTTCAACACAGTGACAGGCTACAGGCTCTGTGTCTGGCACTGGGTCTTAAAGTTATAATTCTCTTTAGTGTAAATGTTATGCTTTGGCCAAACATTTCACTCAATATGCAGCTTTTTACGGGGGAAAAACACTGATTGAGGTTGGGATGCCAATATAACAACTATAATCATAGAGTATTTGTATCTAAAGCTCCCTGCTTTGCACCATATTGGAATAACAACTCGCAAGAATAATGACTATTTAGTTGATAAAACATTATTCTGATTCTGGTATATTGCTTGTTCTGTCTGAGCTATTCAATTTACAATCCTATAAAACAGGCAGAAACAGTAAATCCTTCCTAATAAGCAGCTGAAACTTAATAGGTTTGATAAATTAAAAAAGGAATTATAAGGAGCTTGTAAGTTAATAATAAACCAATACCAGACATACTCTGCCTAAGCTCTGGTTTTCTTACCAACTAAACTCTAACTGTGTTTGTCTGCTGTTGGGGGCAGGTAATGTAAGTGGATTTTTTAGAGCTGTTTTGTTGAAAACAGATGCCTAATGCAACTGGAAACACAGCTATCAGAGCAGTGAGAGTTAATCAAAACAGTAAAGTTGTGGACCATAAAAACATAAACAAATAAGACAATAATGTGCTCAATAGAGCCGAGGGAAATAATAATAATTCGTCATGGAATCCATTATTATTCTAAAAGTAATGATGAGCTGCAGCTTTAAGAGTAAAACTTACTTTCAAAACTACTAACATGTTAGTAGTACAGTGCATTCATAAACACTCTACAGAAAAAAGTTCATTTCATTCATAACACTCCAGTCTGTTCACACTGCACCCCGAGCGACTCCAACATTAAACACACACACTGCACTGAGTGTTTGTACGTTCCCATATACGGGCAGCCTGCAGCGGGCATGAGGTCTCACCTCTGAGTTTGTACAGCTCTCCATTGACAGAATTGACAACGAACATGTGCGGAGCTTCATCGCTCGGGGTTACCGATGCACCGATTAGAGGAAGGGACCCTCGAGGCTTCTGGCTCTTCCCCTGCTCGTTGACAAAGTACTGCAGCTGTCCCACCTCTGGATCCAACACAAAGTACCTGCATGGGAGAAAAACAAACAGACAGTTAGGAAAGTAATGGGCCAGAGAGAAGGAAAGGGGAGAGGGAAATAGCAGAAGCACCATTATTATCATTTTGTTTTATGATCTCATTACCGCGGCTTGTTTGTTTTGCCAGTTGTTTACTGGCAAAACCTTTCTTATACTTCTGTTGCGCTGACTTGTGAGAGAGATGAGGAAAGAGAGGAGGGTGGCTATGAATGAGTGTGAAGTGAGGCAAAAGAGAGCTGCTGCACAAAGACACAACAGCCTTACATTTCTCACCTCAATGCCTGCAGGATGTAATTTACACCAGCTTTCCAAGCAAAATGAGTGGAAATACCCTCCTGTGAACATTAAGCTACCACCAACATCCAGCCGGCAGCTCATTTCCAAATTACTCAAGGTAGCGATTAGAGCGGTCATCTTGAGCAGATGCCACAGCTCGAGGCGGTGTGGGAAATTAAACCCCACATTTTTCCCTTTGTGATTAATAAATCACATTCAATCACTGCATAATTGAATCTCTGCCTGGCTCACCGCAGGCCTGAATATGCAATGCCAGACGGAAACATAAGAGAAGCAGACACATTTCATTTCCTGTGGCCAGAAAGGAGTGTGTATGACATTCAAGAAACCGACCTGTCTGCCCTGCTTAACGCTTTAATTTTGCTTTGCAGTTCGACACGGGCCAGAGTGGCACTGGGTAGCTTTGGCTGACCTTTCTCTTGTTTGTGTTCAGTGGCCCAAGGTAACAGCAGTTCTCTTTGTCCCGTCTTATTATGATCCATGTATCGGCCTTCTCTGATAATCCCCGTGTTCACAATCAATTTTCTCTTTCCAAACACGACTACAGTAGCTGCAGTATTGATCTGGCCTTTACCAAGAAGCAGCGCTCTTCACATGGACCTCATATTTTTCTTACTATCGCCACATCATGGGTGTCTCTGAGGATTGAAGATTTACAACCATGTCAACTCAAGTTTACCAAGGCTGTTGATTTTTCAATAGCTGTCTTAGAGATTGCCGAAGTCACACTACTACACTTCACTACTACTACTACTAGTATTTATTTTCATCTGAAATGCAAACCTCTTTGTATACGACCAGACTTAAGACCCTTTCCCACATGCATTACAACCCTGAAATAATATGGAATACCTAGATGAGCTGTACAGTATGTGTCAATGCACATTTTGAAACAGTCGTACCAGTCATTAAACAGACTTCACCCAGTCAGCTCCCTAGCACTACATTAAGTAGCAGGCCCAATATTTTCCTCAAGTCATTAATAAAATGTTGGATAATGAGAAATGTAAATCAAACTTTCCTAAAGCTGATATGACATTTGAGAAGCTGGTCGAGCAAATGTTGACCGTTCAGCCAAACGTCATTGTTCCATACTTAACACATTTGAATATGCATGTCATTATAAAAACAGTCACATAATTTCATTAATGTTAAACTACCAAACTGGTTTTAGACAACATGGTCTCAATTTGCCTTGTGTAAAAAGTATCCCTATCAGTACCACAATGAGATGTAGAAAAGGTTACATTTGGGGATAAGGGAGCATTGGCCTTTTATCGATAGTCCCAAATGTTTAGAAACTCACGCAGTGTGAAGCTCAAGGTACAATGTTGGTCTGACAATCCTTCCAATTCTCTGGTCTACAGTGAAATCTCTCAAAAACGAATTGATTGAATTCATTTTTTTGTGATTTCAAAAAGGTGCCCAGAGGTTGAATCCTAATGACTTTGACGATCCCCGTCTGACTTGCCACTTGTGCCACAATCTGGTCAAATCCTTGGTCCAAAACATAATGGCATTCCGATGCAAATTGTGTTTAGTGCACTACTAAACACAAAAATAAAATAAGACAGTTAACAGTGACCATCATGGTAAACATCCTTTTTGCTATCTATCAACATGTTAGCTTTGTCATTGCTGATACTGCTAATGATAGCATTTAGTGCATAGCATTGCGATGTAGTAAAGCTTGTTAATGCCGCTAGTAGCACTGTAGACTCTGAGTCTTGTTTTTTACTCATCATTATAGTCTATAAAAAGGAGAATACATTTTATGAAACAGAGCAGCACAATTTTACATTTTCGACGATGGAGCAGGCAATTGTTTAACATTTAGCTCGATTTAGATCAGATGATTTACAAATGTATTAATCAACTACTAACTGTTTAGCACATCATGAATGGCTTCAGTTTTTGCAAATGATAAGAGGACAAAGGAACTCTGAGACTGCCTCCTTCACATCAGGCATTTTCCCATGAACCCTCCACAGTTCCCTAGAGAGGATGCAGTGAATACTGTTCTCTGAAAATTGATCCCACTCACAGCCTTGCCCGCTTCCATCAGGAGGGCTGGAGATTTATGTCGACCACAGCCAACGATCTGCCTTAGTCCGTTTTTATCCAGCCATCTCTTTTTCTCCCTCACATACTGTTACTGTACATGAAGTCTTATCCCCTGTTCAGTCAGCAGAGTGGAGGCTTTTACTGTTGACTCCCCCAGGCAAAGTCCTTTCTTTAGCATCTAAACCACAGTGTAGACCTTTAACGTGATGGATGGTGCTGGATAACAAACCAGCAGCTTTACATTCAGCCTCTAGTGTTATAGCAGAGCTGATAATGTTCGACCTGCAGTAACATTTTCCCTTCTGGTAGCATGAAGCTGCAGCAAACTGGGCCAAATCTGAATATAATGAAATGACAACAATGATGAGCAGTGTTTCTGCCCTTGTAAAACTGCATATCAGGATTTGATGACCTTTAATCAGGATCAATGTGGAAAAACATCAGAAAAAAATGCTAGATTTAACTTTGGTTGCTTTGGTGATTCTTCATCTAAACCTACCTCTGAAATGTTATCACTCACACACACTAGAATAAACATCTGTAACAACAAAGCGCCTTCAGTTACTGATCTTATTTCGTTTTTTTGCAGATATCATCCAAATCGACACCATAACAATAACAACACTCTTAAAAGAGCTTAGTCACGCACATTTATCCTCAGCGACAGAAACAGCCATTTCCTAATGCAGGAAATAGCTTGTCAGCAGAATTTGGATCTCCTGAAAGGCTGTAAATCATCCTTATTATTGGCAGGAAAAGGAGGATGTGTGCATTGTATTATTCAAAAATGTCATTGAAGAATCCTAAAGCTGTATACATTTATATCTAACCATGACTAGGCAAAAACTCCAAAACAAAAGATGCTCTACTTTTCACCAGACACTTCCTTACTTGGGCTCTTTGCGGTATAACTTGAATGAAAAAAAGATTCTGACTTTTAACACGACACAGGTCTGAACTGAGTGCTGCAGATAATTGTAAAACCTGAACAAGAAGACAATGCAGGATTTACGCTTTAACGGACAGCTTTCTCAGATCAGATCAGTCTATAAACAGGTATTCTTCCTCTAATGCAGTTTCCACTACATGGTACACCTCATCTCAGATCCGCTTTAGGTAGCAGCTACTTTACTCAGTTTCGTTTTGGAGGAGGAACTGAGTTACCAGCAAACAAAAAGACTATTCGACATTGAAGACAAATTTAAGCCACCTAAAAAATCTAAAGAAGGGCAACAAAAGTACACCAGGCTGAGCTTTCTTCCTGTTTTCTGCTACAGAAACACCACACAGATCCTCTCAGCTTTGATCAAAGCAGCACAGCAGTGCTCCTTTTCTAGTGAACACATCCACAAAGAAATGATTCATCCCTTAAAATGTACTCCGCACCAGGCCGGCCGCTATAAAGACAACAGAAAATGTACTATCTACACATGTAGCAATCTTTTTGGATCCAGCCTGATATTACAAGATACCTGAAACGGGAGACAGAAAGCGTTGCATTTTTATTACTCTGGGATCTGCATGCATATGTTGCACCTAGATGTGATCCATAAACACTCATCAGTCTAAGAAAAAGATTATAAACAAAGAATGGACCAATACCTCTTTGGCCTCTACACTATGAAAAGCAGAATCACCACACAAACCATGACTGAGCTGATCACACACACACACACACACACACACACACACACACACACACACACACACACACACACACACACACACACACACACACACACACACACACACACACACACACACACACACACACACACACACACACACACACACACACACACACACACACACACACACACACACACACACACACACCACACACACACACACACACACACACACACACACACACACACACACACACACACACACACACACACACACACACACACACACACACACACACACACACACACACACACACACACACACACACTCTCTTTAAAAACTGTGTGATAAAGTTGTTTGAATAAAGATGTACCTTCCTGATCCACCACTGCATTGTTTCACCTTTGTCAGTTTTCCAGTATCCTCTGCTGTCCCATAAACCAGAAGGTCAACTGAGTTTGCTTTCAAATGGGTTGACTATGTGAATACAAACGCAAAGAACTGACAGGGCTTTCTGTTCTGTCGAGTTTTCTATCCACGTTAAGAGGACTGAGTTTGATTAGTTTAAAGAGGACTATGTGTGAAAACACCATAACACTTCTCTGACAAGTGAGTCAAAGGGATGAATAGACACATGCAAACTCACATCACAACATCAACAACAGTTTAGACAAAAATACATCACAGTGCATTAACAAACCAACAACATGTAGAAATGTTCTTTGGGTTATTTGAAGAAATAGCTCCAATCTAGACCATGATGGAAGTTAGCACCACTTCCATCATTTTAACTTTAAAGGTCTCCTATTATACTCTTTTTCATCAATATATTATAGGTCTCAGATATATACAAAACATGTCTCTGAAGTGTTTGACTTGAAATACCAACAGATTACCCATTGTAGCATCCCATAAACCCCTCTGTTTCAGGCCTTTTTCAAAAGTGCTGATTCTCTGTCTGTTACTTTAGATGAAAATAAGAGGCGCATTTACACCGCAGTACTTTTCCCACAAAGGTTCATGAGAACTTAGTACTTAGTACATGAGAACTCTTTTGTCGCGTTCACACCAAAAAGAGCCGGTACTAAAATTAGTTCATGAGAACCTTTTTACCCCCTTTTCAGTCCCTGCTAGAGAGCAGGGACTTTCATGGGAGAAAAAGGTTCCTATGTCTGATTGGCTGGGCGGATTGCAAACCACGCCCCGTAAAACTCCCAAAAAGTTTTGTGAAGCCGCCATTTTATTATCCTCGCATTAGCATTATTAGCATTAGCCCAGCGCAGAAACGCAGAGAGACTAACTTATGGCAACACAAAATAAAACATGGGAGCGGTGGAGATGAGGAGGTGTCGGCGTTCTGGCAATTTACTCAGAAGGCTTCAGTAGAAGCTGCTGGGAGTCCCAGCAGCTTCTACTGAAGCCAGTCCCCAACTCCGGGGACTTCCGGCCGGGGACTTTGGGCGGCAGTATACGCCGTGAAGTGGTTTGCGGCCTGCCAGTAAACCCAAAGCAGAAGAAGAAGAAGTGACGTCAGCGGCTTCATTTGCCTAATCCACCCCCAGGGATTTATTGTGAACGCGATCTGTACTTAGTTCATGAGAACTAAAGAGTTCTCATGAGTTCTCATGAACTAAGTTCTCATGAACCTTTGTGGGAAAAGTACTGCGGTGTGAATGCGCCTAAGGAGCCACTCCCCACGCCCCTCTGAGAGATATTTAGATCAAATAAAACACAATGGTGCTCTAGGAGGAGATTCAGGTGATAAGGTGGGGGGGGGGGGTTACTTTGGTTGGTTATTGGCTAATGGTTACACAAGCCAACAAATCGTTATGACATCATAAAGTGGCCAAAATCTGATCAGCTTATTTTCAGACAGGTTTTTCTATCAATGGATCAGGACAAAAAGTGAGCAAATCTTTTTTCCTGAAACTTTCAAAATGTCTTTACACAGAGGGGACACATGCTGATGTATAAAAGACATGAAAATGTGATGTTGCATAATAGGTGACCTTTAATATCACACTTATTAAGGAATGCATTATGCCAATGGGGTCCTCACAGGTACAGTATAGTGTGTATCTGTGTCTATAGAAACAAGAAATGGCTACACACTCTCTGACAGAAACCTACACACAGCACCTACACAACATAATAGCCCTTCACGCTGACACATGGCCACCCACACAGCGGCAGTATTAGCTCCACTCAGGTCTACTGCCCACCACGGCAACACCTGCCAAACACACGATGAGTTCCTCCGCCCGATAAATATTAGAACGTGACTGACGACTGTAATTACTCCAACAGCGCCAGTCTCCATCAGTGCACCGCCTCTCCTCCTTCAAGGGTTTCTATTTATAAATGCTGAAGGCACTTAAAGATATTAACTTAACACAACCTGAGAAAGGATTATTCTCTTCTGCCTAGAATGGTTAAGATATTTCAAGTCATTTTCAGTACAACAATCTTCATTTCATACATTTATTTCACCAACTCTGGTAAAAACTCTAATTTAATGTATCCAATGTGGCAGAGAAAGCCCTCTTGAGCAGGGACTAATTGAAAACAGAATACTTGTGCATGTTCACACACAATCTACAGACAAATGTAAACAATTGCTTTCAAATTAAATTGTAGGGAGATTGAACGCTGATAGATATTTTAAAACAACTTTAGACAAAATATGTTTTCTGGTTTGTTTACACCAAGGTCATCTCTAAACACAGGCCTTTATCTCTATCTTATTAAGCCGTGAAACACATTTTAGAAACTAACTGACAACAAGACCCAATCTTCAAACTATAGATAGAGGCGTGTAAATGAGTAGCATAATGGCTTAATAAAAAAGAATATATACAACAATTATATCATGACTCCAGGAATCATCCATTTCCACTTTCAATTAGTCCATTTAAAAACGGTTCATTTGTTTTATTTGAAGAACAGAACAACCATCTCGCTTTGATTGGCCACATCCTGTGGTGGATCAACATGCATGAAGCTAAATATGATCCATAAACACTATGGCTTTGTTCAAAAGAGCTACATTTCCAGGATGTGTCAGACAGCATTCCCCCTCTGCCTCTCACTTTGACTTGGATCTCTCCTTGAAAGCAAGACCTTCCACTTCAGGCACTTTGAAATTGAAAAAGGTACCATCACCCCAAAGAACAAACAGCTTCTTTAACATACCTCAGCTTACACCCCGCTCAAAACACTCTGCACATCTTACGAATTGTGTTAGTGTTCAAGAGTTTGTGTGAGCAGAGGTATTATTCCTGTGGGTGAATCAAGATGCAGTTCATTGTATCTCTGCCTGTCAGCTTAATGTGAGAGCAGGGAGCAGCCATTCTTTCTCTCCACCTTCGCCTCCCTACCTCACCCCTCTCTCACATATACACTGGCTTCCAGCCCAGCTCATACAAACTACAGTCTCAGCTTCCTTCATCTCTGCAGCACTGCAACATCAACAATGGAAGAGTTATTTTTGTGTGCCTAATGTAAAATAACAAATTTCATTATCAAATCTGACAACAGCTACGGAACAGATATTTTTGCATAATTCATGTCGATTGTACAGAAGTTGAGCAGCTTACCTTCACTAGAAAACTCTTTACCTCAGAGAGATGTTTTATTTTTGGCTCACAAGAACAACAACTGTAGGCTTTGGTATTTTATATAATTAAACTCAACGTTTTTAATAGAAACTCTCATATTGTCTGGTGCACCCTAAATGCTACATGAAGTACAGTGCTGTTGCTTAGATATTCGGCTCTTCATAATGAGAGCGACTGCAGTAATTCAGAAAACAAGAAATATGTTTATTTAATAGAAACAATATCAAACATGTGTCGTATTAAATCCAGGGATGCCTTTGAAGATGTGTCAGGCTAAATGTCTGCCTACATTCAATATAACAGCACTAAAATTAAGCCTATTTTTAGGAATCTTATAACTAGAGCTAAAATGAGTCGTCAATAAAAGCAATACAGAAACACTATTTTGATCATCTTCTAGCTGGAAAATTACAATATCTGATGGAGAAATAGTCTCTTATTTAGCAGCATACTGCCAATCCATACCCTGATACCAACATGTTTGTGTCAACATTGACAAATGATTGGTCTAGATTTATTTTAATAATAATTTGATCAAAAACTCTAAATATTCTCTGATCCCAGCAGCCCAAATGTGAATAATTACTGCCTTTACTGGATATTGTTGTAAATTAAATTCCTTTGGGTTGTTTAATTACAAGATGTCGGGGCATCTGTTGCTGTTTGCTGAAGTTTTATAGAAAATAGAATCATTAAACATTCAATAAGGAAAATAATCTTTCGTTTCATCGGAATACTGGGATCTGCATAACTGGAAAGTGTGTCTGATGTCTGTGGCACCATAACATTAGAAAAAATGCATTATAACAATTTCAATTTTCACTATCAATGAATCTTCTGATATTGCTTCAAGACTTCCCAAAGCCTAAATTGGACGTCTCCAGATTTTTTATTTTGTCTGAGAAACAGTTCAAACCCCTGTGCATTTTTAGGAAATGGTTTACCAACAAAAAAGTTGTCATTTCAGCTCCAAACACAACAACAACAACCCTAAATCCAGCCTCAGAAATGACTGTAGAGTTGGGTCAACACACCTTGTCAACCAACGCTAGGAGGATATAATTCAGGATTTGTAGCTCAGTTAGATACAATATACAGCCCATAATCTGAATGTTTTAACATATTAGTCAGTAACGTAGTCCATTAGCAGGCCTACAAGTCATGTGTGCAGGCGGGTTTTAAACCCCCTCCCCCCCTCCTCCCCCCCTCCTCCTCCCCCCTTCTCACAGTGACGTGGAGGTAAAAGTGCAACGTGGACGGGGCAAATAACAACACTCTTGACACCTGAAGTGAACCGTGCTCTCTTTCATCCGTGCCCTTACCTGTTCTGCCAGCCCTGGATCAGGTTGGTGTATTTGCTCAGCACTCCTTCCAGCTGCCTCTTGCGGGGCTGCTGTAGATTCATGCTGTTCCCCAGCACCGCTCCAGCCGGGCCGCCCAGGGAGCTGCAGCCCGGGCTGTGAGACCCGCTCCTCCCGGGCTTCCTCGTCGAAGAAGAGTTCCCGCGGTCCGACGAGGAAGAGTTGGGTTTGTTGGGAACGGGTTGCGGACTGCAGAGCGTCTTGTTGTCCATCCTGGCGACAGGACGGCGGAGAGCAGGAGGAGGAGGAAGAGAGGACAATGATGGACCAGCAGCAGCAGCAGGGAAGATTTCAGCAGAGCATAAGTGGCTAACAGGGGGATGTGTGTCCGCTGAACTAAAGCAGAGGCAGTGGGTATGCTTTGACTGAGCTGCGCCGGTGGTGTAAGCGTCCCTTGGTGCGTGAGAAAGCGGACATATTCCCCGGTGGTATGTGTGTCCTCTGCAGTGCGTGGCTGTGTGGCACTGTGTGCTCCTCCAGCGTTTTCCTGGTAGGCAGGGACAGCAGAGGCAGACACTCCCCCTCCACTCTAGAGCTGCCCCCGGATATTACAATGCAATCATTACACACATCATCATACCGAAAAAAGTAACCCCCTCCCCGTCAAAAAATAAAAAATGCTGCAAATTCCAGCAGGAAAACCCGGAGATGAGTCATGATGTAAGGCTCATACAAACCGAGACTTTCTTATATATTTTCAAGGGCATTACCCCCAAAAAGCTAAAAATATCCAAATGCTGTCTCCTGTTGGCCTATATGTATCTAGCAATTGATTATCATACAAGTATTAATGAAAAATAGAAACGCTAGTCTTACTGCTACACTGTGGTATTATTAGTAGCCAAGACTCATTTTTAAACACTGTTTAATTATATGCCTTTATCATATACGCAATATATGTTTTCCTTCAAAGTAAGAATTAAGAGATATATAATTTTTCCCAGCTCTGAGTCTCACCTGCAGTTTTCCTCTTAGGGTGAAAGCACAACATCCACCATTGAGAGGGTATCTTCTGTAGCCTGAGAGGCTAAACACAGGGAAAACATGGCAATATATTGAAGAATGTTTGCTTTTGACAACAACATTTAAACATATTTTATTATCTTATCTTTTATATTATTTTTTATTTTGACAAAGTTAGAACTAATCTTACATTTAAATAGGAAAAGAAAATGATCATAATCATTATATCTTCTGTTTTAAAGTGAAGTTAACCTACACTCTACCAAAACTCTTTCTTTAAAGACATAAGAGACAGTGGCTGGAAACACAGTAATGATCCTTGGTACACATCAAAGTAGGATATAACCTTTTCAAGCATACACTTGCGACCAGGACAGCAGGAATGAAAAGAAGACTTAATGAAGACCTGACTGAGGAGCTGCAGGCTATTAAGAAAAGGCAGAGATTGCGCTGAGCAATTGAAGTCATGCTTCAATGAATCTCCACAGGACACTTAGCAGAGCACGGATAGATTCCTGCTTCTCGTCAGCAAAGGCAGCCACAAAGCAAAGATCAATAGAAGAGAGTAAAACAAATCCCTGGGCAACAGAGTCAGAGAGATTTGTTAAAAAGCTTGTGCTGAGAGTCAAGCGTGGGTCAGCAGCATTTTATTACTAGAGGTCATGTCAGTTTGACTCTAAGGCCTTTCCTATTAACTTTCAATTTAGAGTGTGTATAAATCAAAGACAAAGGATTTATCATGTACATTTTGCAATATAAAGGCTGTTAACTAACAGTTAAAGATTGGGTTATTTGTTTCATAGTTTCTAAAAAAGAACTCTTCCTTTTTCCTTCTTCTTTGACATTTGCATCTCTCAGTTTCCTTAATATGGATTTCTCTGCTTTATATTTTTCTGACATTTGCAGCATTTTTATGACCAACTAGCCAATATTCTCCGTATAGACCTAGCTTGGTCCAACCAATTCTTACCCTGGTGGTCACACATAATACCAACACTAATAGCTAGGCTTTCAATAAAGTTATGTTTTCAGCCTGGGTTGTCTGTTCATCTGTTTGGTTTACAATAAAACAACTTGCCTGATTAACATGAAGCGAATAACGTACCAAGAAAACACCCAATACATTTAGGAGCAGATTCAAATTACATAGCAGACACTAACATTACTTTGAATATTTCTCATCTTGGTTTTCGAGAAGACCCCTAATAAATGTGTCCTCTAGATTCCGGCCTCTCCTGACTGTCTTTCTTTATCTGTTCTTGAATGTACTTTAGTTATCAATAATAATATTGCAGCGAGAAATGGAGATCAAGCTTAAGGGTCTCCAACACACTGAACAGTGTCTACATACAATATTACTATAAATACATCTAGTAGCTCTAAAGAACATGCACTCAACAATGCTCTTCCATTGGTTTTTCAACAATACACTCGCCAAGTAGGAAGTCAATTGGATGAAGAGTTGATGGGAAATTCCAAGGACAAACATATTGAATGTCAAAACACACGGCTGCCCTTGACGGACATCACAACAGTTATCTATTATTTTACACATTTGTTCTCTGCTCCTCTGGCAGCTCTATCCTCTGCTCTCCTCTTGCTGTGTCTCTCATGTTTGACAAAGAATGTATGAGGAGATGCTGGTTGTTGAAGTGGAAACAAATCCCAAACTATATGAACCAGAGTCCCTTGTTAGGCTCGTTTACTGTAACCAGTGTCATGCAAGCGACCATCAATGTTGACTTATCTTAGTCCTATTCCAAGATTTCCCATGCTGATGCACTTGTTTTTTTAATTCAAGCTGTATATTGTTTTCTTATCAGTGATCATTAAACTGTACAGAGTTTTGAAAAATAACAATTGCTGCAAATGCCGATTTGTCTTACATATAAATTATACAGGGGACACGTTTTTTTTAACAGAAAGAAGAAAAGAAAGCTGACCGAGAGATCGCTTAAGACTGACCTGAGGACTTTGGCTCTTCTGAAAACTCTGCAGTATCATCACATTTTAAAATCCTCTTCACCATCATAATTCCTTTCTTTTAAAGGTCACCTATTATGCAATATCCACTTGTTCATGTATTTTATAAATAAACATGTGTCCCCTCTGCATTAAGAGATTCTGAAAATGTCAGGAAAAAAGATTTGCTCACTTTTTGTCCTGATCCATTTATATAAAAACCTGTCTGAAAATGAGCTGATCAGATTGTGGCCACTTTATGATGTCATCTCTATCTGTTAATGTGTTTCATCGTTTAGAACAAGCATCCTCAAAGTCCGGACTCCGGACCGAACCTCAACTGTCTCTGGACTCTGAGCAAATTATTCTTTGCATATGTATTATCTGTATTATCTGTGAGACATCGCCACAACGCAACGAGTCAAAATTCTCCGCTATTTCCACTGCAAACAGCGCTCTGCAAGTCTGCATGTCCGACTGTTCCACTGTCTGAGTGTGTCTGTCAACGCTTCGGTCCAATCACATTCAGCATCCCGTCAGTGTTTTTTCCCCCCCAACAGTCTGCGAATCAGAGGCACAGTAGGGCAGGTCTTAGCGGAATGCGGGTCGGAAAAATGCGTGTGTCGTCTCTTTCAACCTGTCTGAGACAGAGCGAGAGTTTTAAAAAAAAAAAGTCAGAGCGAAAGTTTACAGCTCATCTAGTTGCATCTGTACTGTAGCTAGTAGCCTAGTTTCACCAGCAGGCAGCTATTAGAAGCATGTTCAAAGATGACCAGTAAAAGAAAAGTCGACAGTGAAAATCGGCAATTCAAAGATGAATGGACTGAAAAATATGCGTTCATCCTCCCTCCAGCGAGCACCAAACCAATGTGCTAATATGCCAAGAAACGGTAGTATGGAAGCAAACAGGAGACAGAAGTATTTGAATTTTATTAGACACCGAATGTATAGCATTGAAAATAATTACTTTGAAATCATGAATCTGAATTTTTTTGCTCCGAATTTATCTATGTGAAATAAAAATGTAAAAATTCAAGTTAAAAAAATTCGAATGTTCAAATTCAGATCCCAAAAATTCAAGTGAAAAAAATTCGACGTCAAATATTTCGGTGTTTAAAATTCGATGTAAAAAAATTCGGTGTGTAAAATTCCACGTCAAAAATTGCGATGCAGCCTCATCCGGGCTACTCAGACAGGATAAGCAATCGAGCCCTAATGCAATCAAACCGACTTCTGGCCTATCAGAGCCAAGCGGCAAACCCCGGGACAGTGCGGTGAAGCCCAATGCTGGAAACTGTAGGCGATGGATGCAGATGGGAGCAATTCCCGTAGACCCTATGTTAAAATGTCCAACTTAACATCAGAAAATGAACATGTTTCTAGCCTGGATCTACAAAAACATATTCTGTATATAGTTAGATTCCCCCTTCATGACAACGGGACTGCTGCTCCTAGCTCCTCTCTGCTAGCTCCGTTAGCTCTGTGATGCTACAGCGGCTCAGCTCATGAGGAGAACACTACTTGAACTCGGCCGTGTTTGTTGTGTTGGTTCCTAGTGGACTATTCGTCATGCAAATATAGGATGTATCTGCTGTTGAAACAGACCGTCCATGAATGCAGTTTCTTCGGTATGTCAACCCTGCGTACTTTATGTTATGTTACTGGTGTTTTTATTAAGCTAACGTTAATGAATGTTTAGAGTTGGGTTAGCATTTGAGCAATCGTAGCTCCATCTGTGCTAACGATGCTATGCGTAGCATCCAAGAGTGTAAAACATTAAGTGGGATGCTACTGTATACCAAAAGGCTTCTGTGCGAGGTTGCTAAAATAAGGTCATCCTTGTACGTTAGATAGTTAGTTTGCTATTTAGGTTACTGTATGCATTGTTAAGGTTCATTTAAATTCGCTATGCTCTACTATAGCATAAAATAGACTAGCTAACGTCAACGTATTGTTGAAGAGAGGCTTAGTAAATCAACCTCACAATGAAATATGTGTATCTTTAAAATATGAACGTCACATTTCAAGATAATAATGCTCCCTTAGATATTGTAATATGGTTTGTTGAACTGGAGTTATTTATTGCAGCTAACCGCCTATCCGACCCAAACATTGTTGTTTTTAATATTATTACCAATGCCTCTTTTAATTGTATTATCATCACACTTGAGAAACAGCCTTATCGTGGCTGTACAACGGAACATGTAACTTAATGCCTGCATTTAAGGACGATGAATAGCGTAGTCAATGCTTTAGTGACAAGGAAATGATTTGTTTAAATATGATATATGACGTTATCTGTGACTTCAGTGGAAATTAAGCTTATCCATTGCATTGCATTTGTTCAATAGGTTTGTGTCTTACCCTTACGTGTGTGATACATATGAATATGGCATATGAAAACAAATTAATTTGACTGACTCATGAAAACCTCATCCAAAGTAACAGTAAAATAAAAAGGACCTACACAATAATACTCAATCAAACTGATACAGTATAAGGACTGTGATATCCAGCCATTTCTTAAGTATAACAATAAGATTATGACCTGTTTTTAAAA